CTAAATTATATTTGAAAACAAACGCCTCCCCCCCCCCCAAAAAAAAAGGGAAAAAGAAATATATATTTTAAAAAAATTAAAAAAGAAGAAGGAAAGAAATAAAGGATAAAAAGAGGGGGCCGGGAAAGGAAAAGACATGGAGAATTATGTATCTTTTATAATTTTAGTGAGTCGTTGATAATTCTTTCAAAACTTTGTCTTGGTCAACTAATATGGCTCGATCTCACCCATCCCGCAAATCTTTGGACGACGAGCGTTATGAACACGATGGCATTGGGAATTATGTATTTTTTTAATTTTACTGAATCGATGATAATTCTTTCGAAATTGGTCTTGGCAAACTATTACGGCTCAACCTAATCCATCCCACAAATCTTTGGACGTCGAGCGTCCATTGACATCCGTCACGAACACGATGACGAGTCCAAGCGCGTAGCCAGGATTTCATTTTAGGGGGGCGGTAGTGAGCACGCAAAGCGTGCGAATCACTTAAAGAGCGCGCGAAGCGCGCTCCCTAGGGGGGTGGGTGCAGGGAGGGGGGAGTTTTCCCGCGCAAAGCGCGGAAGCTTTGAAAGAAGACTATTTGTTGTACCTTTCTCGACTCATAATCCTTATCTGACTTCAGTCCCTCCCCTCTCTCACGCGAAGCTTTGACGTTTCATTAAATTATTAGAGAAAGAAGACAATTCGTTGTATACCTTTCTCGACTCTTAATCCTTGTCTGAATTCTGTTCCCCCCCCCCCCTCTCGCGCGAAGCTTTGGCGTTTATTAAACTATTAGAGAAAGAAGACGATTCGTTGTACCTTTCCCGACTCATATTTCTTAATTTGAACTCGGTTTCCCCCTTCCCGCGCGAAGCGCGGAAACTTTGACGATTCGTTGTACCGTTCTCGACTCCTTTTCCCTTTTTCTTCCTACGACCTCTTTCTTTCTTTTTTCTTCTCTTTCTCTTTTTTTTTTTTTTTGGCCGGCCGCTTTTTTGGGGGCGACCGCCCCCACCGCCCCCCTTAGCTACGCGCCTGGACGAGTCGTCTCCTGAGGATCGTCTCAGCGGCTCTTAGTTTGGAGCAGGGGATCGTAAAAGTTGGCACCCATGGCATGAAAATGAATTGACTAAGTCACACGGTCGCCACCGTGCGTGAGTTATTGGAGTTAGACAGACCTTAAACGTTTTGCGTGATTGGTGGAGCTAGGACCCTTGGTTGTACCTCATTAGTGATCGGATGCCAGTAGCGTATCCATCATGGGGCGTAGCCGACGAGCCCCCCCCCCCCCCCCCCCACCTCACCTCCTCCTTTAAATTGTTTCACTGTCTGCAACCATTTCCCTAAAATAATATTACGTTTAGTAACCTGCTAAAAGTATATGGCACAAAGTATGCCTTAATAATATTATTATGTAGAAAACAAAACTTAACACTCCGACTTTTTGGGTGTGTGTGTGTGGGGGGGGGGGGGGGCTCCCAGATCCACCGAATACTGTCGTTATACTGTACACAGGATTCCAAATTATTCCCCTCCCCATTTTTGCTATTCAGTAATTTATGGATACACCCAGATTCTGCTGAAATGAGATGAGGATGACGATGGGAATAAATATGATGTGAGTGAGATGAAATGGTGAAGAAAAATAGTATGCTAGAGATGAAAGGGGGAAGTGTGTGTGGGAAGAGGGGGCGGGGCGGTAAGCCAATCTTTAAATTTTGGGTCATATCGTTAAGTGAATGCTATACATCTATGATGAGAAATTATAAGATGAGATTTGTAACCAGGATGGAAAGAGGCTTTAGCGGAGATGGGCACAGGATAAAGTTCTTATTAACATAATTTATGTAGCTCCCGGATGTAGCTGCACCTATATAGCTAAGTCCGAAAAATATGTGAATCATGTCAGTGCAATGTGAAAATTTGGTGGAAAAAATGTATACCTCGACTTCGTCTTGATAAAATAAAAGATGTGTCCTTGAATCCTTTGAAATGATCATGATTCGTAAAACAATATAATTTATCAATATGATGACAGGACCTGAATGAAAATGAATAACGCTAAGCGGAATATGATATGTAATTAGATAGGAGAAGACAGGCAGACAGCCATATTGCTCGAGAAAAACGAGCAAGCCGAAGTGATATTTCACGCTCTAACCTCGGCCATTGTCAGCGAAAGCTTGGCTGCTAAGTGTCGGGGCGACCCTGGCGATAAACTTCTTGACACCAGGCCCCGTAAAGCGTGACAGATCGGCAATAAGAGATGCAAAGGAGACATTCCGAAGAACAGAATAAAAAAGACTTTTAACAGTTTACTGCGTCATTCCACGTTCTCATGATCGACTTGAGGGCTGAGTTGAACATGAAAAGATGACAAAACGATCATGGCTACATTTATGAAGAAGGATGTCGCATGCATGGATGAAGGAGAATGAGTGAAGACGGAATAAAGGAGGAACACTGAAATCGCTTTGGAAACTTTTAAGAACCAACGCTGTATTCATGTTAGAGATGATAATTATGTGCGAAGGTAGCAGTAGAACTATAGAAGTAGCAATGTTTTTTATAAAATAAAGAAGAAAAGAAAATGAAGAAGTCATCGAAAGATATGAAGGATGAACAGCAGAAGCATCACAACGTAAGATGACAAGAAGACGAAGAAAAAGAAAGGGAAAAAAGGAAGAAAAAGAAGAAGAAAACTAATAGAAGAAGAAGAAGAAGGAGGAGGAAAAGAAGAAGGAGAAAAAAAGAAGGAGGGGGAGGAGGAAGAGGCTAAGGAGGAGGAAAAATGGAAGGGGATTTTAACAAAGGAAAAGTTCAAAATTAAACGAAAAGAAAAACAAAGAAAAATAAAGGAGAAAGAAGAACAAGAAAATAATAGTTATCATTTGTTGTTACTTCTATAATATACTTGAATGACAGATTACGAAAAAGGAGAAGACAATATTATATAATAAGTCAGGGATGTTTGTAAGTGTGTTATCTTTTTAGTGGTACTGCTTTAAAACCTAATAACACAAATAAGCTATAATAAAATTATCCTAGCAGCATAAAAACTTCTCAGGTTAACCGTATAACAATAAGAACATTCAATTTCTGATAATCAACCAATCTGATCAAACTTCAAAAGTATACAGGAAACAAACATCATGTAATACACTTTATGAAACGAAAGCGAAATGGAAGATTTTCTAAATAATGATATTTCACAAAATTAACAAAATACAACTTGAATGAATTTTACATGAAGGCTTATTTTTTGCCTATCAAAGATATATCACATGCCAAGCTTTTTCACTCTACACTACTTGAGTACAGTATTACTCATCTTGAGTACTATTCCGGACAGATACAACACCTCACCGATATATCTAATCATTGATTGAAGTGACCATTTTGAATCAATTAACAGACTGCTGGTACAGAAGAAGAAGAAAAAAAACGTATTTTACAAGTAGCTCATTTGGTACCGGTCAGAAAAGTCAATGAAACTATCATTATCATCATTAAAAAGTGTGAAAAATCACATGACATTATAATTTACCCGATAAATGCCCAGATTCAAGGTTAAAGTTGGGTGGCGACAAAGACGAGAGACAGTTATCTGAAAGGTGAGGGGTTCTAATTTTATCAGCAAATTGTGAAAATAGTACAGAGAAAAGTGAGAAAAGAGAAGAAAAAACAGTAGAAGAGTGAGAAGACTGATGAGGGATATGATGCAGTGACTTTACCAGCATCGATGACATTGTCAAGGTCACGTGCTGGTATAGAAGACCTCCTGACTGTTCGGACACAGAGCGCCTCCCTGTTCCATGATAAGCATTCTGAGAAAGAGACAGAGTGTGTTTCGCCGATTTGTTCTCGATCATTAAGCGTCCCGCGCGATCGGTCTGTCTTGTCGTCTGCTATTGTTTCGCGGACTTACGACTTGGCTGATGCGCAGGGCTTCACGCGGGGACGAAAGGCAGAGCGACATCGTGTTTTATAATAAGCATTCTGAGAACGAGACAATGGAAGCGGTATCGTGTGTTTCGCCGATGACTTGTGTTCTCGATCATTAAGCGTCCCGCGCGATTGGTCTGTGAGTTTACTTCGTGAATGTCTTGTCGTCTGCTATAGTTTGTTTCGCGGACTTACGACTTAGTTGATGCGCAGGGCCTCACGGGGACGAAAGGCAGAGCGACATCGTATTTTTATGATAAGCATTTTAAGAAAGAGGCAAGGGGGAGCATGAGAATGTGTACTGACCGCCAATAATTAAACATCACGCGCGATCGTCCACGTCGCTTTAACTTTGTTCACACCTGTCATTGTCGCTTGTCTGCTAGTAAATGTGGACTGACGAGGTGGTCGATGCGCACGACTTAGCGGGGACAAAAGGGAGAGCGACTCCCTGTTTTATGATATCGAATGCGGGAATGTCACCTCGTCTTAATACGACATTACACTATGTTGCAAATCTCTTCGTCGTCTGCTAATTTTTACATGTATGTGCTCTTACGAGGTGGCTGAAGAACACGGCACCGTAGCGAACTTACCATAACGGACGTCTTCGTGGTCGGAAAGTTTTAGGTGGTCGATAGCCACGGTATCGCGGTTCCTCGTCGTCTGCTAGTTATTATTTAAACTTTGGAATTCGTCAATGAGCACGGCATCAAGAAAGAATTGACGCAGAGCGACGGCCTGATCAACGATGCGCACGATAACTAAGATAGGAAAGTGATATGAAAACTGTTTGGCATTTCTTTGATGCATTTGATTCCAACTCCATGATTTAAAGGTTGTCGCCACTCACCTGCTCACCAAATGCAAATAGGCCTATACATTATTTGTTTTCAATAGCTTTTCGTTTACAAGACGGAGTGGCAGTCTTTATTATTACTTTAATCAAAACCAATCTCGCAATGGCCATGGAGACAAAGCGGAAATCGTTTTTTATTTGTGACATTTTGAATGAGAATTTTTCGGCATTTCGTCACCGCGGTGCCGGGGCCTTGGGTTATGCGGCCAACATGAACGCATACACCATGATGAAGGCGTATACGGGTTACCATGCGACCCCAGGTAAATATATCCCCATTTACTGTAATATCATCCTCCTCCACTCCTCCTTCTCCTTATTCTTTTCTTTTTTCTTCTTTTTTCCTCCTCCTCCTCCTTCTTCTTCTCTCTGCCTTTCTTTTCTTTGTTTTTCTTTTCGTTTACGTTTTGAACTTCTCTTTTTTATAATCCCCTTTCACTTTTCATCCTCCTCACCTCCTCCTTCTCCTTCATCTTTTCTTCTTCCTTTCCTCCTCCTCCTCCTCCTTCTTTTTCTTTTTTTTTCTTCTTCGTCTTCTTTTCATCTTATGTTGTGTTTTTGTAATAAAAATAATTGCGGTTTATTTTGATAAGTACGAAGTTTATGTGCGTCTTATTTCTATCTTTACATTCGTTGATAAATATATATTTTTGTTTACATTCTCTCTGTTTTCAATGGATATCGGTCTCCACGGAGAGCTATACCGTATTCGCGCCTAGTATAGAACATGTATTTGATATAATCTGCGAGAAGTTGGGATAGGTATAATTAAAACTACCTGTTAGTGTTGCTTGTAGACATAATTGTCATATTATCTTTTCTAATTCATGATTTTCAATTGGCAATTCAACAGAGAAAAAGGCTTGAATATTGATAGGAAACAGAGGGCAGAAAACTCGAGACGATGGAAGTAGAAAAGAAAGAGAACTAGCCGGAGGAAAGAGTGGGAAATATAGTAGAGTGATAAAGGAGAGGGAAAGAGAGGGGGCAGTGGGTAATAATGAGGGGTTGATGACAAATATCGAGACAATGAATCAGTTGCTACTTAATGAGACTGGTATGTTTTTGTGGAAGTAAACATGAGAAAGGATAGCGAAAATGTTAAACTTTAAAAAACATTGCGTCGAAGATTTATATTATCGAAATAAGTGACAGAATGTAAAATCACTTTCGTTCTTTAAATACAATCAGGTAATTCTCCTTCAATGCAGACATTATCTTATCAGTAGGCACGGGCTCTGATACAGGGCTCTGTTTCTTAAAAACTTGCTATCAATAACAAATACTAAACTTCTATGACACATTTTTTAGCCAACCAATGTCACGATTTCACTTGCTTAGAACAGTTATTGCAACAAAGTATTGATAACAAAGTTTTATCGAATCAGGGCCTGAAGTCTTCTTTCCAAAACAGATACACTGAAAGAGTTTTCTATATACATTGTACATATAAGTCGTAACGCAATCATAAGACGGCTTTAATAAGTTTAGATTGATCTTAATGTTCGAAGTGTGCTTTCAAATATACCCTAAGTCATTAAAGCTATTTTAGACAAATGATATTGATACAAATAAATGAAGAAAAAATACATCCATTCAGTCTATCATTAATTTTGTGCAGGGTTTAAACAAATTCAAAGGTGATAATATGGGTTTCTATGCAAATTCTGATATTATGTTTCTTCTTATAGTTCACAGAAAATGTGTCAATTTAGAAAAGATTTAACAATGATCGAGAAATTTATATTCTACATCAAAAATCATTAACACATGTTTGTATCGAACGTCCCTTTTATCATTATTATTCAGTAAGATTGGACAATTTGCCTTCATTTCTGAAAATGACGAAATACTTTGAAAGTTCTCTTTGATTTGATATGTTTATATATAGTTCAGAGGCGTACAATATACTTATAATGTTTCGTGTTATATTTATGTATGTAGTGTATATTTCATATTTTATTAAATGTTCATGCATGTTTCATTATTTTCTTCCTTCTTTTCTTTCGTTCTTTCTGGGAAGAACAGAGCCTTGAAATTAATTGCTCTTAATAGAGCAATCTAGCCAGATTCTTTTTAAATGTTTTGTTTTTGTTTGGTGTTCATATTTATGTATATATATGTTTTATACGGAAAAAAACCAAACCAATGCAAACATAATGATGCAGAGCAGATATATGGGCCTTTTTATAAATCTTGATTTTGGGGGGATATTCTTAATTAATTTCAATCAAATTGTATTTTTATTTATGGGAACCTATAATCTACAAGCTGAGCTTTTTGATAGGTTCCTCACATTTCCCCCTGTATAACCTTCTATTCAATACAATTAATTTCGACGTCTTTTTAAAGAATTAATTATATAATGTGACACTTTTAGTATATTTCATATCATGTTCTAATTTTGTAAATTATGTGAATTCTTTTTTGTGAAATGTGAAACAAATAAACTTGAAACTTGAAACTTGAAACCTTGAACATTTGTGAATTTCAATAAGTATTCCTTTTTGTGGCAAAGATTCAGATATTTAGAAGCAGTTATTTTCTTAAATTAGGGTTCTGGAGATAATTTCTCATCAAATCTAGCATGGATAATGGATCGCAAATTTACTATGACAATCTACTTTGCAATCAAAATATAGTTTTCATTTGAAATATGAAATTTGTAAGTGAGTAATTCTGTGCCAAAGTCATTTAATTTTCCTTTGATCTATTACAGCACCATCTATTTTGTTGAAGAACCGCAAACGATGCATTCAATCAAATATACTCGATACAATATAGGAAGATCGCTCCAATCTTCTAAAATATTCTTTGGTCGGATTAATTCTTAGGAATCGAGTTTTCACTTTTTAATCTCGGAGGGGAGATTCGTGGATGTAATATTGCATTTAATTTTTACACCTTCATTTATTTCTGACATGTGAAAGGTTTAAATCAGAAAGAAAACAAAAGGAACGAATAAATTCGGAGCCTCGTATTTTGCTTTAACTTACTCCTCTATTTGGCAGGAAACCAATAAGTAAGATTTGTACAAAGTCGACAATCACTTACTTTTAATCCAATAAAAGTAAATTAATTCTCCTCTATTTTGTCCTTATTTGATGTTTTTGCGATAGGAAACAATCTTTGAACCACCTCCACCTCCTGCCTGACACCTCGTTTCATCATTTACACTAATTCCTACCCAAGACCGAACACAAATTAAGAGAGTAATTCAATAATATCACATGTTTAATCACGGTGTTCGTCGCTGAATGTTGACTTTAATTGTTCGGGACTAATCGTGCGACGCTCAATCAATGTATTACTGTCATCTCGAGTTGGAAATCATCGCGGAATCTCTCTTGAAACGCGATGGTTTGTTTGGGATGTGTTATGGTCCACATTTTGTATACTGAATTTGATTTAATTACTGGAAGGATTATTTTGTTGGGTGTAAATTCATCTCCATGTAGTCTTTGATTTGACACGCCACACCAATTCATTTAAAAAAAAGGGGAGACATCGTGTTAATCTATGATTTTTATAAGGACAAATTAATGTCAAAGTGTTGTTCATCATAATTATTTAGAGCATTTCTGCAAGTTTTGTAATGGCGAGACCTTTTTTTTATTTATATATGATCACATCTTTCTCTTTCTATACGTCTCTCTCTCTCTCTCTGTTTCTCTCTCTAATATCTCTCTCCCACTCTCTCTCTCTCTCTCTCTCTCTCTCTCTCTCTCTCCCTCTCTCCCTCCTTCACCCATTATACGTCAGTCATCAATAACTTTTTACTTTTTGATAACATTAAGCTTAAATAAGGATAATGAAAATCTTGCAGTATAACTTTCTTTCTACCTTTTTTCCCAATGACACATTCAAAAGTTTCTCGTGAGTCCTGACAAAAATGCCATATCAAATCAGCAAAAGAAATTAAAGCGATCTAAAAGAAAAAAGAATGATTGCAGGGCAAGAGAGTTGCTCTTAGAAATTAGGCCAAAGGTGTGAATAAGTATGTCTTTATTCCCACCACTTTCATTTTACCTCTCTTCATTTACTTCATTTGGTTTGACATATTGCAGGAATGGGAGAAGTACGCCAGATCTTAAAGAAATTGGATTTGGCCCATTTCAGAACTGTTACCCATTTGAAAACACTTAAAGCTAAAAAGTGAAGTCTATTTCCTTTATAAAACATTTACTTTAGCTCTGTTTAGATGGCTTAGTTTTCATTTTTGTTCCTTGCTCGCGTGTGCATGGTAGATATTATTAATAACAATTCTATCACCAAGTCGCCGGGTCTTATCGAATTAGCAGCCGCTAAGTGATGCAGCGGTGATGTCAGGCACGCAGTACGGGGACGTTTCGGCCAATCTCCTCGACATCGATACGTTCAATTATCAGCCGTCTTTTACTTGCCATGCTCCGATTTGACCGAGTAAACATTATCTAGACAGCATTTGCGATCAAGCGAGAGAAAAGGCAAACATTGATTCTATTCAGACTTGCATCTCAAAGCCGATTAATCAGTCACCTTGTTCTTAAAATCATGTCTTTTTGCATCTTATCAAATTTTTGATGACGAGGTCCTTTCAGTTTTATTCGACTTTTCAAAGTCAGAATTCGCCACGAAAAACATGAAGACAATAAGGCTGAAATGTCAGTTGTTTGTGATCATATCCATACCAAACTGTTTGATTAATACGATGTCAGTGATAGAAGAACACATTCAAAAGAATTATTTGAGAATACTTTTATGTTTAAATTTGATGAAAGCGGTGTTTTGTTGCAAGTTGTTTGGGCCCATGCACTTTAATGTGCTAATTTCTGAGTCGAACAATTCAACGGAAATATTTTGTATGTACAATCTCAAACAGCAGTAAAATTTTCTGTCTCATTGTCAATTTGAATATATTCAGTTTTCACTTCTTTCATTTTTGTCTTTTTCTTCTTTACAATTATTGATGTTAAGGTAAATTACCTTAACATCAATAATTGTTTTTTTTCACACCCTATAGGTTTAATACAGATCCATCAACTCAGATCACGATGAGAACATTTCGAGCAATGTTTTTTTCAGAATGAGTTCAAAATTTACTCGTAAATAGAAGTACAAGAATCACTTACAATTAGTTTACATTTTCAGTCCTCTGCATGGTATAAGAATCTTACGACGACTTTTGTGATGTGGGCCTCGTCAATGTCCATGAAGAATATATTATTCATCAAATCAAATATATAATTATTCTCAAATAAATCTTATGAATTGTGTTCAACGTTTTGTATCACTCACTTTATCATACATTTTATTATGGATATCATCTCAAACGACTTTCATTTCAACCTCAGTGCCTTCATGTTTCTTGTGGCGAATTCTGACTTTGAAAAGTCGAATAAAGGACTTCATCGTCAACAATTTGATAAGATGCAAAAAGTAATAACTTTGCCGTTTATCGTGGATTTTCTGTACGCGTTGTTCAGTTGGTTAATAGCATGTCAAACTGCATTTGATAATCTTTACACACCCATTCTATATATTCATAAAGGGGAGAAAGAAATGACTAGTAGATGAATTAAAGGCGGACATAAATAAATTTCAAAAAAGGAAACACATTAATATATAAGACTGCCTATCATGATAGGTCTGTTCGAAATGTCATCTCGGATCGAGATATATTTCTGACAGATAATTATATTAAAATAAGTTTGCGATACCACCTTAGTTATCACGTTTTCTAATAAAGGTTTACTATCCAGTAGCAATAATCTATTGTAGCAAATTGGACTTCTAGAAATATAGGGTGCAGGGGTGATAGCCTGTAAAACTTCGGGTGCCAAGCATACGCTCATATCTCTATCAAACGAGAAAGAGAGCATATTGAGTATAATGGCAAGGGATACTTTATTCATGCGTATTTTTTAAATTGAACGTTGGATAAATGCTGAATGCAATAAGGTATTACAGTGACTTTTTAGTTCGGTGTAGTGGTCCACCTGCACACCCCAATCAGTTATACCGGGAGGAGAGACCCGAGGGTTACAGAGATTCAGTTCGCTTTTCGCCTCTCAGGCACAGGTGATACCACATTATATAATAATCCTGATAATAATAATAAAAGATCTATACATATTCCGTTCTTACTAATTATGTTGTTCTTTTTTTCTCTCGTTTGTTTGTCTTCCAGGACTCGGTGCCAATCTAGCATTGAACATCTTATATCCATCCCTCATCTCTACTCCATCAATACCTATCCTGCCCCACCACGCCCCAGCCACGCCCACTCCCCACCTACTCAAACACAACTCCGCTACCAGTGTACCACCAGCGAAAGTCTACCCTAACCGCAGGCCGCTCGACACCCAGAACCACCCGGGTGGATGCGGCTCGGTGTCCGTTTCGGAGGCTCATCTACCAGCGACACTCCCGATCAAGCCGCGGAGACCGAGACGGCGTCGAACAACTTTTACCCCCTCCCAACTGGGGGCGATGGAGAGGAAGTTCCGGTGTCAGAAATACTTGAGTGTGGCGGAGAGAGGGATGTTGGCCGATCGGTTGGGCCTGAATGAAACTCAGATCAAGACTTGGTATCAAAATAGACGGTAAGGACATTTAAAAAATGGTGATGCGTGAAGATTGTGAAAAGGAAATGGAAATAATGAGGGTTAAAAGAAGATGAGGAGGACGAGGTGGAGGATGAGGAGGAGGAGGAAGATGCTGATGATGCTGATGATGATGTTGATGTTAATAATGATACCCGGGGATGTTTCACAAAGATCCTAAGTCAAACTTAACTCTAAGTTGGACTTAGAATTATGGAGAGCCATTTGTAGCCTTAAAATAAAATATATTCAAAAGCGAAAAATTAAGTATTTCAGAATTTTTATAAATTCCACATCAAGAACATGGAATCTCCTTGATGATAGAAAATATGAATGATTTGAATCAACATTATTTTGTATGCCTTTAAAAAAAAACTTAACAAAATATTTTCATAGATGCTTACGACTTTCCACTTAGAGATCAGTTTAACTTAGGATCTTTGTGAAACATCCCCCTGGAATGAGAAATGATATTGATAATTATGATATTTACTATAGGCCTATAATATGAAATTTAATTTTAAATTTAAATTAAGCAGTTATTATTCATTCTGTTTTTTACTGGTAAAAAGTTACAGAACAATTTTACAAAATAAATTATCATCATAAACAATTATACAGTAATGGTAAACTACATTCATAACAGCTTTAATAGTTGGGTGAATTGCACAAAATAAGTTTTGTACGATGAGGATACCGACAGAGCGAGAGAGTAGAAGAGGACAAAGGTAGGCGGGTAGGAGGAGGTGGGTTGAGCAGTGAAGAAAAGAGAGAGAGAGAGAGAGAGAGAGAGAGAGAGAGAGAGAGAGAGAGAAAATAAATGTTATAGTTTAAAAAGTATGAGGCGCTGATATAAACTTTTTCATGCGGTAATTTCAATATAATGACAATCATGACAATGGGTGACGACAGAGAAGGAGAAACTAAGAGAAGATGGACAGGAGAGAAGAACGAAGGTGATGAGGAGGGCAGAAAGAGGATGAGGATATCAAAGCGGGAACGCACTTATTGTACTATAATTGCGCCCCCTAAAAATAGCAAACAATGCATAAGCGGTGCCCGTTGGTCCCCCATGATCCCCTTTTTCTTATGTTAACTGAGAGCTGATTTGATGAGATATCCACCTGTCAGTGACCTTGCATGGAGGTCTAATCCCTCCTGGCCAAACTAGTGCATACGGGCTTTAAGACAGGGCAGTCAAGAGAAGGAAGAGGAGGAGGAAATGGAAGAAGAGACATTGGAGGAGGAGATGGAGGAAGATTATTGATGGAGGATGAATAGAAAAGAAGGAAAATTATCTCATACATTAATTACCGAACTCCTAACATCAACCTTGGACGCACTAACCCTAACCAGAACTCAAATATTAAATTGCAATCCTATCGCTATCCCGGAGCAATATTGTAGCAGGAGCAGTATTTAATTGTCGGATCACCTTGCAGGCGGAAGGATGATGACTATAATATAGAGAAGGGGGAGGGGGGTGAGCAAAAGTTATACAAATTACCATCTTTGAACATTCTAATGATATCACATCAATAATTTCCGACCCCTCTAAACAGTCACCGTAAGATAATTTTATACATTCATCTATACAATCAGCATGCTCATTCAGTAGCACACATCATGAGAATACAAATCATCACTCGGGGAATAAGACCATTGATATAGGGTCAGTTTAGACAGTTCAATGTCGCTATAAATCCTAACCCCCTCATTCCGATCCTGCCACACACCCTTCTCAATGTTAATTGCCTCTCAAATAAACAAATTAAATGGTTGTCGTTTTAAATGGCCTCATTCCTGGACAAGTGGTGAGTAATATTGAGCTGCATGAGTTATTCACTACAGTCCGTCCGGCGAAAATGTGGAAGATAATGTCAAATGAACAGTATTTGCGCATAATTATTTTGTGCATTGATGTGCACTATACGTCTTTGCATACGTACGAGGCGGGTGGAGGAGGATGGGGTTGGAGAGATGCAGCCCCCACTCCTTATAAAAGGGGAACCGTGATATCATATTTGGGTAGCGAGGGGTATAAATTACCTTTTTAACTTTTCATATCCTGGGAGCTGCCAACATTTTACTTTAAAGAATTGCATGACATCAAAAAGTTAAACATTGAACAAGATTAGTTTATCTCAAAAGAGACTTGTTGCAATTAAAACACGATCGCAACTATTTTCGAAAAAAGATCTACTCAAGGGCAGTTTCAATACCTTATTGTATGTCCCCATACAATTCATGTTTGGATGATGTAATACGTCATTGTCATATTGATTTCCCACACTCAAATAGAGGACACACACAACTATTGAAATTGTCTTAGGTTGATATTTCGAAAGTTATTGCTTTCGTGTTTAAATGAATTTTCTGTTGCTTACTAAGAATTGAAAGTTTACTATCTGGCCTGCCTTCCCCTCTCGGAAAAAAATATTAGCTCCTACGCCCCATGGGCATTGCGTACGTTCAGAGACAGAAAGGCGTTATTAACTTTATGTTAAAATATATGACCCAACGCCTTGTTGTCTCCAACCAGACGATTTAAAAAATACATCGTCCATGTGATATATTAAGACTAGAAGAAGAATTTACATTCCAGATTTGCATAGCTCTTCAGCGATTTCTTTCAAAATCTTGTAGTAGCCTTATTCGTCTATTGCCTCCCCTTACCTCCCTGCCCTACCCTGCCCCCTTCCTCCTCGCCCTCACCTTCCCATTTATTACTTTTCCCTCCCCATTCCCCTCCCCTCCTCAGGGGCGGATCTGGGGGTGTTTAACCCCCTCCCCCCTTGGGCTGCCCCCCAAATTTCAGGGGGGGGGGAAATGATTTTTTGTTTTGTTTAGTGCTCACTACCCCTCCCCCCCCCCCCCCCCCCCCCCCCCCACTGAGCGAAATATTGGTCTGCGCGATTTTCAAATTTCGCTCCCCTACCATCTTGGAAAATCTTGGATACCCCCCCCCCCCACTTTAGCAAGAAGCTAGATCCACCCCTGCCTCTTGTTCCCCTTCCTTCTCCCCTCCCCTCTCCTCCTCCCTCCGCCCCCTTCCAATCCTCAGCCCCTCCTTACTTACCCGCGCCACGCTTTTTGACAAATGTCGAAGGTGTAGGGACACGCGCGCTGAGTGAATTGTGACCATGGAACAAACCTGGCTCCAGGGAGGCTATTAGTATTTATGAACATCTCTCATTTTCTCTCCTTCGCTCCAATGTGCTAACATTAGCCAGTTGAGAGATTAACGTTGGACGTTTATAGCGCTCAACTTGACGGATGGACATTGCGACCAACGTTACAGAAAACAGCTGCTTCTTTCGATTTTCTTTCAGTGATGGTTGTTTTTGTTCCAAATCCGACGAAAAAGGGTCAAGTCGAGAGAAAATGACGGGCAAGAGAAACTAAATTATGTGGAATGTATATACATTAAATTGACAAATTTACATAAAGTTTGATAGATTAATTAATTTAAGGGAAATCCAGCCCACATAGACAACTACTCTAAAAGAAAGCAGAACTAATCAGAGAAGCAAACTGATGAAAGTTTTAACTAAATCTGACCAAATAAAAGAAAGTTATGAATTTTTGAAAGTTGCTATCGCTATACATGATGTCAGTGTGATGTAGTGACGGACTAATTGCTCAGGATGGTCTATTCTTTTTAGAGAACCGAAATTAATATCTATAATAAGTTTTGAGTAGTGCCCCAAGGGAGAAGGAACTTAGAGGGAAAAAAAATTAATGATATTTTTTTACACGGCAAATGGAAGAGTTATCCACGTCCTACGTCACAATCCACTGGCCGAAATACCAATTTGAGATACGCAAAGACTTAGTGATTTCATATTTAAAACACTCATAACTTCTTTACTATTGATCCAATTTATTTCAAACTTTTACCATTCTGTTTTTGTTATTTTCTGCTTCCATGCAAATCAACTTTTTACAAGGGTTGGATTGCCCTTTAAAGCAACATAAATTAAAACATTTTCCCCTTTTCCTCTGTCTGTCACTCTTCTTTCTCTGTTACTCTCTCACTTTCTCCTCATTTTCTCTTCTCCTCTCTCTTAGAACAAAATGGAAGCGACAGACTGGTCCCTCGGAGAGGATGGAAGAATTACGTCTTCACTTTTGTAACGAGGATGGCTGCCCCGGACGAATGCGCAAACACGTCCGCGATGTCGTGGGCACTGATCTGATTGGCTCAACGACCTTCACGTGCGCTACAACGTCACCATCGTCATCACCGAGCATTAGCCAATCAGAAGAGGAGAACGATTCAACCGAGAAAAGACTTCTATCAAACTTTCCCCAAAGCTCACCCGAAAGCTTGAAATAGACTGATCATGATGCGGAGGATCTTGGAAATCTAGACATTATTGCTTTCGTGATGATAGAATTAGACCTGTCTGTTTGATAGCAGAAACATGATTTCGCTTTTTATCTTCGCCTGATATTTACCGAATGGACACTACAAGGATTATTTTAGTTGTTCTAAATGAATGATAATTTTTTTCCCGGTTAGTTTATGTCAAATTAATTTTGTGTGAAGAAATATTGCATGCATGAACGGGGATAGAGTGCGTCATAATGATGTCATCATAAAGCCAAAAGGACAAACACTTTTGCACCTTCCCTATCCCAGGTGAAGCAAATATTGTTGATAAAACTTTGTTAATGTTAAAGCCCCACTGAACTACTTATAGCTACTTGCGCCCTCTATATATCAAACAATGCCTAATCGGTGACCATTCATAATGATCCCCCATGATCACCCTTTTCTTATGTTAATTGAGAGCTGATTTGATGAGATAACCACCCGTCAGTGACCATGCAGGGAAGTCTAATCCCTCCTGGCCAAACTAGTGCAGAGGGGCCTTAAACAGTACTCTTTTGAGGGCCCTGTCTTATAAAGAACTGTTATTGATGCTAATTGATCGCAAGTTGAAATCAATTGTAACTGTTACAAAAAAGGACTGTAAGTTTGCAATTGATTGGAGGACTTGCATTCAATATGGATCAATCGCAGCTCTTTATAAGACAAGATTAACATCAATATGTGTGGAAACTACAAAAAAGATCAAATAATTCTCCTCTGTTTATGCTTGTCATGCTAATGTTCTACCATGGTCAATTGACTGTAACTTTGTATTGTGTTTTGGATGTAAGTTTGTTATGCATGAACAGATCTTGTATCCAAAAGTGGATAAACATTCAATTAAATGACACAGTGCACCACAATGTTTGCTTAATCATAATACTTTTTTTTAATCAATGAACAGAATATATTTCACTCTTTGATTTTGTACAATTCAAACACGATGATCACAGAATCTTTTTATACAACACACATAGCAGCCTCATAGCAACTTCTTCTTTTCTAATACTTGGGATTTTGAGAATGCCAACAAAACAAATACCAAGGCAGTATACGGGTATAAGCTACTGTGCACAGGCAGCTTTTTATACATGCAATTGCATCAAATATATGGCCATAATATACATCCTTAGTTCTAATATAGTAACGGCGTATAAAGTGTGCAACATCTGCGATTTTGGAAGTAAACCCGACATAATATCATCTGTGTGGAGCCACCAGAACGTAAATCTGTGTTAGAGTACACATACAGTAACACCTGCTTTAATAACAACCACCTGTCTATAAAGAACAAATTATGAATTTCCCTGGGACATTGTACGGTCAAACGTGCTTCAACGACAACCTGTACAGTAGGATCACCCGTCTATAAAGAACAAATCTTTTTCATTTTCATTGAAAACTGTGTCTTAGTGAAACAGGTACCATATGGTACGTCTATGATGTATATGATATTAAAAAGAACCTGTACATAAAGACCACCTGCCTATAAAGACCACTTTTCTTGTCTCCCTTGAGTGGTCTTTAAATACCGGTACAGGTTTTGTTGTATATGAGTTAACACCATTTTGGCTCCAGAGCATATCTCTGGTAATATTCCCTGGCTGGGTGGAGATGAAAAATTTACTTTTCTTGCAAGAAGGACCTACATGTATAGCCAAGAATTAGACAAAGCCTATTTGGGCAACTTGGCTGACTAATATGGTAGTTATGGCACTGGAATTTGAGGTATAGAGTTTACAACTTCAGGGGGGTATTTCACAAAGACTCTAAGTCAAACTTAAATCTAAGTTGGACTTAAATATTATGGAGAGCCATTTGTAGCATTATAATGAAATATATTCAAAAGCAAAAATTCAAGCATTTTAGACTTTTCATAAATTCCACATCAGGAACATGAAATCTCCCATGATAATAGAAAATATGAATGATTTGAATCAACATTGTATGCCTTTTAAAAAACTTTTACAAAATATTTTCAAGGATGCTAATGGCTTTCCATAATTGTTAAGTCCAACTTAGGATCTTTGTGAAACACTGCCCTGGTGTTATGATTCGCTTTAAGGAAATGTGTGATATACTTCAATGAAAAAATGAAATCACACTACTTGACTTGAAATGAAGTAGTTGCCTGTTAATATTACCACTTTTTCATTACCAATCAGGACATGAATCATACATAAGTTCAAATTAGGATACTTTTCTTTGAACACTGTTTTTGAAGTAAAAAAAAAATTAGTTAAGAATGCAAACTACTTTGCCTTGAATAAAAGGCTGATTAATATAAACCATTTGGTGTTAAAAGAATAAACATGTTTTAACAATAGAAAAGTTTTGGTGAAGATAATAATCCACTATTTTTTAGTAATTACAGTTATATATAACCATTATTGAAGATTTATGTTGTTTCCAATTCACATAATTTTGTAAAATACCAAAATACCTCCTTTGCTTGGTAAAAACTTGTTTGGAATTTTAAAAATATAAGTGTTAATCTTGAGTTTTTTCAATGAACTATTAAAGATAACATACAAAATTATAATAAAAAACCTTGTAAAAGCATCCTGGCATTCATTTTGGTAGATTCTGTAAACTGTTGATCAAATAAATATTCATTAAATTAGATCATGATGAAATAACTATAACATATAAAAGGTTAAATACTGTCTCATCAAGTCATAGTTTGACATAAAACATGTAAAACATTTCTGAAAAAATAACAATATGAAATATTTAAGGCTTGTTACGATATGACATGGTAAACACTGAGCTCTGTTTATAAGATACAGAAATGCTTTGCGTATTACACTTTACATAATCATAAAACTAACCGCCCTGTTTTGCCGTTTATATTTGAACGAGGCCTTGGATTGTAGAATACGAAGGAAAGGCCTGTTATTTTTTTTTTTAAGGCAACAAATCTCTGACTCATATAAACAGTTCGATATTGATTAATATCCATTTTTTTAAAAGAGGTTCTTAATAACTGATACTTAATGTTTCTGTGACAATTGTGATTTTCAAATAATATCTATCAAAATCGCTTAAAAGAGGATAGGAGAAAGTACCGGAAGTAGTATTCGAACCACTTTCTTTAAAATTGACATGGACTGGAAAACAAAAGAAGTTTGGAATTTGAAATGACTGGGGAGCAACTGTGGCCTGAGCATGTTTGTATAATTTAAATACAGAGGGCTGAGCAGCTTATTTTTATAGTGTAATACACAGTCTACATGAGACGATAGAAAATGGTCAACATGATTGCACAGCCTTTCAAGAAATAAACTTATGGGCAATTCAATAGCCCTGCGCATCACATATTGAAATGTGAGAACCGTAAAATGCCATATTACATAATCCAAACAAAAATACTATTAGCAATGGGGGATTGAAATCGCCATGAATTATATTTCTCGAAAGCATTGCGATCAAGTCGGTCACTCTTATACACAATCACACTCTGTCCAATAACAGCTACAAAATTAAAACTTCCAATTCGAAAATTTACAGCAACATCGGCTAAACAGTTACATAACAAACAAACAAAATGCCATAACATGAAGCCTGGGGCTCGAGGAGTACCACATAAAACTCACACATGGATGATGCTGTAAAAGGTGAAACACACGAATAGAGATTCTCATTTACAATTTGTTCATGTTTTTCACCATACACATCTCCATAGAATCCTTCCAGACGGCTACCTTCATTTGTTGTGCATTGCGTTTTTCATACAATGACAAAAAATAGCAAGTAAAGAACACGCTTGCACAGGTGATTCTGTTGCCGTATTGTGGAAAAAGAGAGTAATAGTCATGTCAGCTTAGCAGTTATTGAATAAAAATAATGTTCCAATATTTTACTACATGTATTTTATGCATTCTGTACCGGTAATTGAATCACAGAGCAGGTAATTCTTTATAAACCTGCATTTTCTTGTATGAAGACAAAGAACAGTTATAATATCACAAAAATGTTCCTCACATTCTCCAATTAAAAAAACAAAATAAAAACACAATATGCTAATTACACAAGCTGATAAGTACAAAGTAAACGTCAGTTATACATACAATGAACGCGTGTGAATACAACATTCAGAAGTCCACTATTTATGGTAAAAAAAGAAATAACAATGCAAAAATACTTGATATATATTTGTTAAAACCTACAATTATTAGTACTAGCAACTGAACAACTCAATCAGTGTTGCCAAATCATGCTCATTCTTCCCTCATATATTTGTACATCATAGATTTAATGCATACTACTAATAGCACTGTCAAGAAAATATAAGAACTCATATTTTTTGTTATACATAGAAATAATTTCCCCCCTCTATTTCTAATACTGTAAAATTCTATCGAGGAGGGCACTTTGCTCATTGTTCATTAAGTCTTTCATACATCCCTGGTTTCAAGTAAAAGATGAGCAGTCTCACTTTTATTTGAAAAAGAACAACATGGCAAGACAAACGAGTTCAAACTGGAACACTTGTATGCACGAATAATTGGTAAAATAGAGAGAAAATATTTCAACGTAGAGGTTAGACCAAAATGCTTGATTCTTGATGTTTTTATAATCCCGATGGTAGACCTGGGGGGGTTTTCACAAAGATTCTAAGTTGAACTTAACTCTAAGCTAGACTTAAACATTATGGAGAGCCATTTGTAGCTTCAAAATAAAATATATTCAAAAGCAAAAATTCAAGTATTTTAGACTTTTGGTAAATTCCACATCAAAAACATGAAATCTCCCATGATCATAGAAAATAAGAATGGTTAGAATAAAAATGTTATGCCTTGTAAAATAACTTTTACAAAATATTTTCATAGATTCTAACGGCTTTCCATAATTGTTTAGTCCAACTTAGAGATAAGTTCAACTTAGGATCTTTGTAAAACACCCCCCTGGGTTTGTTTGTATTGGGAATACAGCCATCGATTGGATCAACAAGGACTAAAATAATAGGATCTTAAATATTTTACTTGGTTCCTCACAGGATTAAAATATTAACTCTCTTGTATCTACTAGTAGCATTCTATCAACAATTTGTTTCAATTCTAGATCTGAAATACAGTTAATCGTGCAGGTCAGCATTGTTTCTAAATCAGAAACTACTGTTGGTTATTATTTCAGGTAATTAAAAGATTTCAGTAAGATAGAAATCAATCAGTTCAAGTCTAGATCTATGCTGACTGCTTTCATAAATCAATGTATCCAAACACTATTGATGATGAACGGTCTTGTGATACTTTGTGACCACACTGAACTGCATCCACTGGTAACGCTCTTCTGTGTTGCCTTAGAACCCGTCGCTATTGCTGTCAGGGTTACACTCTAGGTAAATGTATGAGCACTGTTGTAGTTGTTGTTCTCTACGAAGAAGCACTATGTCCTATCCTCAATGGTTTTGAGATACTCTACGGCTGCATTAAACTGCATCCACCAGGAACGCTCTCCTCTGCTGCCTGAAGATCCATTGTTGTAGAGACATTTTCTTGGTAGAAGCATTGTTGAAGGTATTGCCCTTTCAGTAGACGCACTATTTCCAATCATCAACCGTTTTGAGATGCACTGTACTGCTTCCATCTGTAACACTCTTCCCCACTGCCCGACAACACTCTACTAATGCTGTTAGGATCATTCTCTGAAGTACAAGCACATCTGTACGGGTCATTCTTTACGTAGAAGCACTGCTGTAAAAGTCTTTCTCTAGGTACTAGAAGCACTACTTCCTATCATCAATGGTTTAGGAATACTCTACGGCCGCACTGAACTGCATCCACCAGTATCGCTCTTCTCCGCTGCCTGACGACCCATCGCTATCGCTGTAGGGATCGTTCTTTAGATAGAAGATATTGACATAGAAGCACTGCTGTACAAGTCTTTCTCTAGGTACTAGAAGCACTATTTCCTATCATCAATGGTTTTGGAATACTCTACGGCCGCACTGAACTGCATCCACCAGTACCGCTCTTCTCCGCTGCCTGACGACCCGTCACTATCGCTGTAGGGATCGTTCTCTAGATAGAAGCTATTGACGTACTGGATGGTAGAGAGCAGACTAGGGGGGTTGGCCTTGATGAGGACAAACATGAGAACCGGGACAAAGTCATCTGCACCAGGTGGCGCTGCGCCGTCGGCCATGCTGAGAAGGTTCATGATGATTGTACAGCATCTCAATACACATTGCACTTTGTCTTTAGGAGTCTGAGGAAGGAAAAACAAAAACAGAAAAGAATTAAAAAACTACTATCTATCTATCTATCTATCTGGCTTATAGTTCATCCAGATGTTGGACAAAACCCTCCTCATAACATTTCCATTCTCTTCTGTCTCTAGCTATTTTAATCCAAGTGGCCATTTCCATGTATGATGTTAGGTCATCTCTCAATCTTCTCTTCTGCCTCCATCTTCCCTACAACCACTATCAGGTAAAAGAGAGCATGATAACGTATATCAGGATTACTTCTCAATGAAGGTTAATAATTATAAAACATTTACATTTTTTTTTATACATGACTACACCTGCTCATAAAGATTACCCTTGCAAAGCAAATAAAAAAATTTGTTAGGACTGTTTAGACAATTCTTACTCAATCCTTTTTGAAGAATGCATCCACTTTTGTACTTAATAACAAAGGGCAGAAGCACATCAACAAATACTTCCACTGGAGGTGTCATGGTTTAGTGTGGTAGTGCATTGGTATCATAACTCGGAAGTCTCTGGTCCACAATCAAGTTGACGTGCTAATTCTCTTTGGAATGGCATTAATCCTAAATTTCGAGACCTCTACGATAGAAATTAAAGCCCTTGGTTCCCTCCATCGCTAACATTTCAATAAGCATATCCGGACATATCCTGACAGCTACCCCTTTGACATCCACCCCATGGATAACCACCCCCAGTCAACTACTCCCTAGGATGACTACCCCCTTGGATAGTTCTCCAGGGGTAGTTGTCCTAGAGGATCGTTGTCGTACAGGGTAGTTGTCTGGGGGGTAGTTGTCCGGGGGATAGTTGTCCCGGGGGGTAGTCATCCTAGAGGGTGGTTGCCCTAAGGGGTAGTTGTTCTAGGTGGTAGTTGTCCTAGGGGGTAGTTGTCCTAGGGGGTAATTGACTGGGGGTGGGTGTCCAGGGGGTAGGCGTCCTAGAAACCTCAAAATATATCACGAGGACCTACCTTATAGGCATTGATGTTGAGTATCTCTGCCTGCGCCGCCGGCCAGGGCGACTCCCTCCTGTACTTCTCCGGGATCTGCAGGGCCTTGTGCGAGCCAGACACCACCCTGCCGAGCCTCTGGATGTGTTGGTTGAAGAGCTGATCGCGCAGGATGTCTCCGTCCCCGTTGGGGTAGAGGGCTAGCTTGTAGATGCGGCTCATGATGGCTCGCTCCGTCGCTAGCTCGGCATCCTGCTTCTGGGTCTCGCTGGCAGCTGGGTAGATGGGGAAATGATAGTGTTGCTTGATAAGTTTTAGTGATAACTTTTTCTTTGTCGTTTGTTAATGTATATTGTATTGTTTTACTGTACCATTTCTGGTCCCCACCAGCGGCTTCATAACGATACCGCTGAATATGGGCTATCCAGCCGTTTATTTTATCTTGTAATTCATAATTCTATTCGTTATTGTTTTACTAAATGCACGATGTCTTTTTTTTTAAACAGAAATAAAACAAACAAATCCAATAACATTTTTACATTCAACATAAACATAATAAAAATATACAGACATTTATATCCATGTAACAACAATACATGAAAGAAGAAATTAAATGGATCTATAGTATATAGAATGTGTTACTGGTGATTCATTTTTATTGTCATTGTCAAACTCAAATTAAAGGTATAGACCAGTTTTGGAATCGCCCCCCTCCCAAAATATTGAAATGGAAGCTCTTAGTACCAATCATGTGAAAGAATATGTTTGACTAATACGTGATGATACAAATTTTGCCAGGAAACCACCTACTAACACTATGAACATGACAGACAATAAAAGCGGACAAAATATACAGTTCCTCAGGTAGACAAAGGGACAGCCCTTCACTGCTATTATGTAAAAATGTGTAGAACAGGTGTCACATGCATATTCACCTGTTCTACACATTTTTACATAATAGCAGTGAAGGGATGTTCCTTTGTTTTCCTGAGGAACTGTATATTTTGTCCGCTTTCATTGTCTGTCATGTTCATAGTGTAATTGATATATTTGGTAAATTATCATATCGATCAAGCCTGGATAGATATCGCGTAGTCCTATATACATCTTTCTGTGTATAGTGCTTGTAACTTTACCAAGACTGGGCCAAATTTCTTATCATTTTGATGATTCCAGATCCTTGCAGTACACACCAATCCTTATATGCTAGATGATTGACCTTTCCTGATCGATTCCATGTTTCTTTCACAATGCAATCGCATGACCAGAAATTTTTCCTTTTTAATTTTTTTTCTTCAAGACACAGTATCTATACCTTGCCATATTGGGTCCTGTTGAATCCAGTTATTGAGTGTAGACAGGTAATACTTGACTAGGTGAGTCTGTACAGATACAAAAAAAAAACAGAAATAAGTAATATATAACATTAAATAGTTCATGTCCCAACCAAACCCGCCATAGCACCCAACTTTCATTAAAGTGACTCTGTAACATTGCCTCAGATTTTGAAACAAAATCCTAGATTTAGCTCATGCTGCAATATTAATTATAAACCTTTAGGTCATTCAGGAATCTCATTACTTTTACAAGCCGATGGCCTGTCTGATTATCAAGATATTTATGATTGGGAAGAAAAAGAAAAAAAGAAAAAAAATAGAAAAAGAAAAGAAAATAATTTTTTTTTTCTTTTCAAATTTCACTTTTGACTTTTGACTTTTTTGAGGCACTTCATGATGTTTTGAAGTGCAACTTTTTGAGGGCTTCAATATTATACAAATAATGAATGGTTATGAGTTCAATAGTGCGAATATTGTCATGAGTTGAAAGATTAACATTCTATTCAACGAGGCGTCAGCCGAGTTGAATAGAATTAACGTTAATCTTTCAACGAATGAAAATATTTGCACTATTGAACGAATGAAAAACATTCATTATTTGTTTTATACAACATCGAAGAAGATCTAATAGAACGTTCATCAACAAATTATGCTTTACTCCTTATATTAAAGATAAATTAAAGTTGGAGTCAAGCCTTCTCGATTACATTGAGATTGCCTTCGCGTCAGATACACGCAGGGATACGCGCGCGCACGACTGAGAGGTACGCAGTCTGCATATAATCAAAAATGCACGGCGCATATAACCAAAAATGCACGACCGTGCAATATACCATCTATTGAATATCATGTGACCAACAATCCTCCAATCAAATGACAAGGATCCACGTAGGTGTTGTATAAAACACCATATCACAGACACTGATAACACGTAGGGCCATGCATCTCAGATTTAACATTGTTAAACGATGCATTTAAGATAAACTATTTGAATACACCATTTGGCAGGCCTATTGACTCTCAACTCACCTTTTCATCCGCAGCGGTAAGAGCTTTGAAGTCTGAAATGAACTTGATAATGGTCTGTTCCTGTCTCTCTAAGAAGAACCTCACACACACCATGGTGAAGAATTTATTCACCACCTCCTTGTCTCTGTAACAGGAAATATAGTTAGGTTCAAGATTGTTAGGCTAATGTATATACAGTCAATTATTCATATCTTTTTTTTTTCTATCAATTCAAATCGTATTAATTTCTTTTCCAACAAAAGGACAAGCAAAGGCATTAAAGATATAAATACAGAAAGAATTGTATGGACACATTCTTTTTTTATCTTGATAAGTATACAAATACACTTTACACATAATAAAATTATTACAAGAAATTCTTAATTTCTGAGGAAATGTGGGGGGGGGGGGGGGGGAGGGATCCACTAAAAAGCAGTGCTTGTAGTTTGTGGATCCCCCAGAAAAAATGTAATTGTTTCAAATCGTGCCTACGAAGACTTGGAAAACACAAGACAATATTACATTACAACAAACAACCACGAAACGACAAGGAAAAGGAAAACAGATAAAAGACGATGGAAAAGGGGGAAAAAGGAAGAAGGAAGAAGCAGGACAAATCATGACCGAAGAAGAGGTAGTTATCTTGGTGATTCTGGGAAGGTCAGACCAAATAAATATTCAATTAATCGAGCAGATGATGAAGACCTAAATGATTTTAAAAAAAGGTGATTACCAGCTGTTATCAGAACTATTATTGTATTACTATAAGATTTGAGTAAACTTATCTTTAGTTTTTTCTGGAAAGAATTTAAGGATGGACTATTTTTAATATCTTCATTTCACTTACATGTACTTGTCTCAGTATCAAACATAAAACACAGTAAACTTCAAATTACAATTCAATTCAAATTAACATTTACATAAAGTCGATCTTAATCTTTGTGAAACACTCCCCAGACTTACCTTTGAATTCTCTCTAGTTGTCTCTCTAGATGAGCCTTAGACAGAGCCAAGCCTTTCCTAGTCCTCACTAGGTATGCTATGTATGGTGACCTGGCCTCGTATTCCTCCCGCAGTACTGCTAGTAACTTACGACATCTGAAAAACAACAAAATACAAAACGATTGAATTTCTCTGTTCCATCAATTATTGTATTCTATTGTATCTACTTTTAATGATATGAATTTCAAAGGATGATTTTACTTTGTGTAAATTCTTCTTTCTTCAGCCTCATGGCTGCTATTTTGGTTTGTAATTCATCAATAAACCAGACCAACTACACTTACAACTGCAAAATATGATACAGATTTTATAATTTTTTTTATAAATGCTACTTTTGATGTGGTTATATATATGCATTCTTAACATTTGATGGAAAACATATGTCAAACTAAATTATTGAAACAAAATGTTGTTATGATGGAAGACCAGCACACATTCTGGGTCCACTACTCTCTATAGGAAAAGAAAGGGCCGGCATCCAACTCATTATTCTAAAACAATGTTTATTTATCTTAAAATGCCATTACTCCTGACTCCTCCAATCATTACAAGAATCAACCCTCATCACAGCAACACATCAAATAAAACTTGACATCCCTACTATGTTACAGCATCAAAGATGCTCAAAAGTTTAATTAACATTAACAAATTCATCCTGAAAATAAATAAATTGTATCTTAATTAGCTCTGACTAGGTTTCTACTACATCAAAATACTAAATATCAATACCTACCCTTCATTATCAAAGTTGCCCACACATCTGAGGGTCTCTCTCAGCTGTGCTATCAACGCTTTATCTTGAAGATTCATCGCCTCGGCAAGCTGGACCTTCATGAAGGCCACCAGCTCATTCTCCGGGTAACGTGACATCTCCTTCCCGTCCCCCATGTCACCCATGACCCCGCCCCCACCCCTAGCTCGGCAGTGCGTGGAATGGTTCGACAGGGAGGAGAACGTGTGGAGGTCGGCCGAGCGGAGGACGATGCGGAGCTTGCGCTTGGCGTCGTTGAAAGCGTAGGTGGATTCCAGGTTCTCAGAGTCGGCAGAGCTGCTGGGTTCGGTGCTGTTAGAGTCCGGTTTGTCGCCATGGCTACCGGAATCATCTTCATTGGATGAGTCTGCATTCGTCCCATCTGACAAAAAAAAAAATAAAAATAAAAAAACAGGTCATGTTAGATAAAGCTAACTCCATTTCTACACATAAGAATGGCATTACATAAGAATACATAAGAATACATAATACATAAGAATACATAATACACATGCATACATAAGAATACATAATACACAAGAATACATTACACATAAGAATGGCATTACAAGAGAATAAGTATAGCTGAGTTTGATGTCTAGGTTTTTCTTTACTTTAGATGACTTAAATTATATTTAATGTGCATTTTCGATGGCTTAATCATTGAAGCTTTGAAGTAATATTGGTACCATTTGTATTTGTAAAGGCACGATGCATCAAGACAAGAATATTATTGCACACAGTATTCAAACTATATTGAAATAATCTATATCATTTTTGATGCGCATGCAAAGTACAGTAGGAACAAGGTAAAGATGGTTTTAAAATGTGTACAATATGGGAATATATAACAGAAAAAGCAATGAAATCCTATCATCATGACATCTGTACCGTTAAAGGCATCGTTTAACAATGTTAAATCTGAGAAGCACGGCCCTACGTGTTATCAGTGTCTGTGATATGGTGTAATATTGAAGCCCCTATAAAGATTGCGCTTCAAAATGATCAAGAAGTGCCTCAAAAAAGCAAAAATCTTTGAGTGACCGGTTTTACCATAATCATTTTCCCCAATAGACTGTAGTGTTATGAAAATCGTTAGTAAAACGGTCTTTTGAAATTTCGATTTCCAATCATAAACATCTTGATAATCAGATAGACGATCGGCTTGTAAAAGTCATGGGGTTCCTGACTGACCTAAAGGTTTATGATTATCATTGCAGCATGAGCTAAATCCAGGGTTTTGTTTCAGATTCTGGGACAAAGATACCCAATCCCTTAAAATATCCATAGCAGTTCCCCCGTTGGATCTCTTTCCCTCTTTGTTTTTGTTTTTTGGCATTGTCCTGGTCAGGATGATGGACAGTGGATGCACAATTGCTTGTCAATAATGGAAGAATATAATATTTTATGGTCGCAGGGCCCTCAGGGACAACAGTATTAGTACTCCTGAGGCTATGGGTAAACAAGACATATTATCATAATTATTATTATCATTTTTAAAAACTTGTTATCCTCCCTCCAGGCATGTAGTTTAATAATATTAATAATAATAATATTGGATATTTATATACATTAGCTGAGCTTCTTGGGTCATGTTATACAGAAGAATGGTTTGGAAAATCTTGCACTGACTGGAAGAATCGAGGGGAAGGGTAGGAGTAGAAGGAGGATTCTGTGGATGAGTAGCTTAAGGAGTGGGATCTCTGAAAGTGGAATTGATCTCGGGGAGAATGAATTACTTCATAGAATATCAGACAGAGAGCTGTGGCACTCCATGGTCGCCAACGTCTTAGGATATGGCACGTAGAGAGATAGAAATCCACCATGCATGGTGCTCCAACTATTACCCGGACTCTGCTAGGTAGCCGAATTCAGCGCTCACAGCATTCAAAGAATTCCTTCCAACCGGTACCCATTTAACACCTGTGTGGAGAGTGGCAAATGTAGATTAATATCTTGCCAAAGGACATTAGTGCAGTGGCAGGACAGCAGACCCTATGATCCACAGTCAAACGACTTATCCACTAGACCACAACACCTCTAACTAATGATGTGCATTTCAAAACCAACTCACCAGTTGCACTGTCCTCCGTGGCTTCTAAGTGGTCGTTGGAACGACCTTTCCCCAGGTCACGATACTTATTGAGTATATCCTCACTGCTCGTCTCCGGCACTGATGCATCCTTCACGCCTTGTTCTGTAGAAACATTGAATAGCAGCAAAACATTATACAGTCAAACCTGCTTCAGTGACCACCTGTCTACAAAGACAACCTGTCTATAAAGACCACATTTTTTGTTTCCCTTGAAAACGGTTTCTCATTGAAACATGTACTAAAGGAACCTGTCTACAAAGACCACTTTTTGTGTTTCCCTTGGGCGGTTGCTATAGACAGGTTTGACTGTAATTTGGTGCTTGTATAGCGCTCATATCTGTCAGACTTGACACTCCTGGCGCTCTTGATTACTACCCTGGCTTTTAATAGCGCAGCTGCCATTACGGCGCTCTAGCATTTCAAGGAATTAATTCATGCCAGGTACCCATTTACATCACCTGAGTCGAGTGTGGCAAATGTAGATCAATGTCTTGCCAAAGGACATTAGTGCCGTGGCGGGAATTCAAACCGTGGACCTTATGATCGACAGCCCGGTGACGTATCCACTCGACCACAACACCTCTACATGTATTTAAAAATATATGCAAGTAGTTTGCCTCATCATCATCATCATCATCATCATCATCATCATCATCATCATCATCAGCACATGCCATTTATTTGTAATCTTGAACATTCAGAGTTTCATTGGATTCTGTGAGAACATATTTTCTATATTTACCACAACTCAAGTTTATCTTTAACTTCCACTCCACGCCACTTACCTGTTTCAAATAAGTCTGGTACTAGGGCAGGGTTTGGAATGATCTGTATGTTGTCTGTCGAGCCTCTAGCATCCTTAGCAGAAAGCTGTGCATTGGTCTGTGATGACCAGCCCTGCTCCTCTCTTCCACCGCCAGACTTGTCCTTCTGTGACTTAGCACGTGCTGATCCGATTGACCTGTTAATCTGCTTGATTTTCTTTTTGAACCAAGACCTGCCTTTATCAGGACTGTCAGGACATCCCTCCTTTAAAATATAAAATTTGAAAACATTGTGAAGAATGAGAAGAGTAACACGAGTAGAGCTTACAAAATCATGACAAATAGAAAGATGGAAGCAGATTTATTGATCTGAAAAGAAAGCATTTAGGTGCTGTTAAGATTAGTTGAACAAGAACATGGACTTTTCACATGACAAGTAGTTAAAATGTGTTATTGTGATTGGTGGTTTCCCAATTAAATACTGTAGAGCATTACATGTACTTCATTTTAGTGAATAGAATACCGTAGCTGTGACATCATACCAAAATATATTTTGGATTTCTCAATTTGAACTTCATTTTCCAAAAGAGCATCAAAAGTAATGTCCAAATGTTGAAAACCAATTGAATATGTTAAGTATTGGCTGAGATATGACCATCATAACATAACATTACGAACCAGGGCAAAATAACAGTGATTTCCTTTTGAAATCTATTTATTCTGATGGTCATATCTCAGCCAATACTTAACATATTCAATTGGTTTTCGTCATTTGGACATTATTTTTGATGCTCTTTCGAAAAATGAAGTTCAAATTTGGAAACTCAAAAAAAAGTTTTTTGATGAAGTCACACTTGACCACTCTATTCAATTTTAAAAAAATGAGCGTTTTAACCTACAACCAAAAAGAGAAAACTTGTGGAGAAAAAAGTATAAAAATCATCCCCCAACATTTCTCTTCACAGGAATATTATTTATCTTCAAAGTGTCACCTACATACAGTCAAACCTGCTTTAGTGACCACCTGTCTACAAAGACTACCTGTCTACAACAAGCACATTTTTTGTTTCCCTTGAAAATGGTTTCTCATTGGAACATGTACTAAAGGAACCTGTCTACAAAGACCACTTTTTGTGTTTCCCTTGTGCGGTCGCTGTAGATAGGTTTGACTGTACATGTACTTATATTTGCTTACCATTTCATAGCTGTCACTGCTGATAGACCTGTCAAACGAGGGCGTGCTTCCAAGCTTCGAATCGCTATCTTCTGAGCTTCCTACCACAGCACCCGTACTCGAGCTCGGTGACGAGAGGAAGTTGGCATTACCCTGATTGTCCATGATTGGCCATTCGCCGCTGGACATCTGATTAGCTTCGACCGGTTTGAAGCTTTCCGATGACACCATCAGAAGCGACATGCTACCGCTGCTGCCTGTACTGATGGAGCTGTCCGCTCGGTTAGAGAAGTGATCGCTGTTGGACGCTGATTCTCCAGAGTTCACTCCGCTGTCCGACCCTCCGACAGAGTTCCTGACAGGGAAGGTTGTGGTTTGCGATTGGGAGGAAGGAGGTCCGAAGTGTGAGGGGTGTGCCCCTGGGGGTGGGAGGGTGTCAAAGCTGGCTAAGGGGTTGGCATAACCGGACAAGTAGTTGGAGTCCCTCTGGGTATTCTGAGGCATCCCCTGTTCGGAGAAGCCATGATTGATGATGGCAAACTGAGTGTTGGGGTTGACATCAAAGAGACTGTCCTGATTGGCAGCAGCTGGTTGGAATGCTTTATTGTGCATCTCATAGATTGGATTAAAGGTGCCTAGATTGTCACTATACCTCACCCCACCACCACCAACAGGCATCCCTTGGGCAGATTGAGGCGATGATCTAACCTTCGGCTTGGCACCTTGCGGCAGGTTGGTCCTCTTGACCGTTGGGACGTTCCCATTCATGGACAAAGTGAATGGGTTAGAGGATGGGGAAGGGGTGCTGAGAGGATCAAAGTCCTGCAGGACACTGTCCACGTCCAGGGAGGTCAAGGACTTGGTGCTCTTGGCCAGATCTGGGCCAACTCCATTCCTTTGGACAGTGTCACCTGCCGTGTGGATAACATCATAAGACCCTCCGATGTTGGATGTTGGGGGTGCTCTAGATGGCCGGGCAGGGACGGTAGGAGGTTTGTCGGACCGGTCAAACATGGCAGGATCTCTAGGTCGCTGGGTGCTGGACAGAGAATGGCTCGAGGAGAGGTCATCAGATGGAAACAGACTGGCCAGCTTAGAACCAGTAGACTCAAGTGTTAGGTTTGCCTGCAAAATGTGAAACATTATAAACTTTTGTTAAACAATCAACAGAGTACATCCAAAGTAATTCCAGGCAGTGAAATTAAATCTCACTGGTACATTACATGTACAAAGACACAACTCCAACTGATCACTGAATAGAGTGGTGAAGTGTGACGTCATCAAAAATCTATTTTTAGAATTTCTCAATTTTTTCTTCATTTTCCGAAATAACATCAAAAATAATGTCCAAAGGTCGAAAACCAATTGAATATGTTAAGTATTGGCTGAAATATGACCATCTGAATGAATATATGTCCTATAGGAACTCAGTGTTATATTCTCTGGCTCCTAACCATTAGGAGCCAGAGCATATAAAACTGAGTTCCTATGGGGAGTATATTTATTCAGATGGTCATATCTCAGCCAAAACTTAACATATTCTATTGGTTTTCGACATTTGGACATTATTTTTGATGTTCTTTCGGAAAATGAAGAAAAAATTGAGAAATTCTAAAAATAGATATTTATGACATCACAGCTTCGGTACTCTGTTGAAAGAGCATGATGGCCTTAAATTTCATGTTTAGGGCAAGGCCACTTTTCTGTAGGGCACATTCCTATATTACAGCACAAATAGGAAGAATTAGAAAGGGCACAAAAAATCTCCAAGGACAATGAGAGGGGCATTGAGGCCAACCAAAGGGGTATCCACGGCCATGGCCTTGGTGGCCTTGGATTAATTTAAGCCCTGCATCTATCTTACACTTGGTGAGCTTACCCCTTTCTTAGCACACTCCTCCACACTAGGGCTGTCGTTACTGGAGCTCCTATCAACGCTATGGCTTTCTCCAGAGGAACTCCTCCTGGAGCCAGCCTCCGTGCCAACCTTGGCCAGGAGCTGCTCTGACTCCTGCTCCGTCATCACACCCGCTAGGTCCAACTGACTGTCATCAACCTGAAAGATAAAAGGCATCATTTAACAATGTTAAATCTCAGATACGTGTTATCAGTGTCTGTGATATGGTGTAATATTGAAGCCCTAAAAAATTGCGCTTAAAAATGATCATGAAGTGCCTCAAAAAAGTAAAAATCTTTGAGCGACCGGTTTTACCATACTCATTTTCCCCAATTGACAGTAGTGTTATAAAAACCGTACTGTCATAACAAAACGCAAAATGAAATTTCGATTTTCAATCATAAATATCTTGATAATCAGACAGGTGTTCGGCTTTTAAGTCACAGAATTCCTGACTGACCTAAAGGTTTTATAATTATCATTGCAGCATGAGCTAAATCAAGGATTTTTTAAAGGATCTAAGACAAAGTAATCGGATCCCTTTAAGAGTGAAGAAAACTAAACAAATACTCAAAACCCATTCCTTACCTCATGAAGCCTATCCTCGGTCTGTTCCGAATCACTCTGAAGCACATCGACGCTCCACGTCTCGCTACCAGTCTCCTGGGGATCGTTGAGCGGAGGATGGACCCCTAGGAAGGATGCCGTGGCTCCCTGCAGGTTGGCCTCCTCCTCGGCTATCTCCTGGAGGTGGTCGTTGGGGATGGGCTCCGAGGTGTCGCTCCCGATCACGTCTGTGCTCCACGTCTCACTGAAGGTTTCTGTGGGATGAGAGGAGTTGAATGTGTGGTAATGATTAAAGGGATCCGATAACTTTGTCTCAGATTCTGAAACAAAATCCTGGATTTAGCTCATGCCTCAATGATAATTATAAGCCTTTAGGTCAGTCAGGTACCCAATGACTTTTACAAGCTGATCGCTTGTCTGATAATCAAGATATTTATGATTAGAAATCTAAATCAAATTTTGCGTTTTTCTAACACTACATTCTATTTGGGAAAACTAGTGTGGTAAAACAGGTCACTCAAAGATTTTTTACTTTTTTGAGGCAATTCATGATCATTTTGAAGCGCAATTTTTAGGGCTTCAATGTTACACCATATCACAGACACTGATAACACGTAGGGCCATGCATCTCAGATTTAACATTGTTAAACAATGCCTTTAACTACCTTAAATGATTAAACAACAACAACAACAACAACAACCTCCTTCCATATTACAATCCCCATATTTTACCTGGCACCATGTTCTTCCCATCTTGGAGGTTCGTGCCGATGTCAAACTTTCCAAACTGGTCTGTGATGTTCGTATTGTTCGGGAGCTGAGTAGAGTCAATGATTTCCGGTCTGTTATGTTCAGTGGTGCTGCTAGCCATACTGATGGCGGACCTTGGCGTGTTGCGTCCACTCAGATTACTGACATTCTCACCCTCCAGATCCATGGAGTATACAGAGTTAGATGCACCTATAGAATAAAAATAGCCATATATACTAGTTGATGATCGATGATTGTTTTATCTGACTGCTAAGAAAGCATGTATATACTTTTAGGTAAACAACCAGGGGGCTGACGGCTTTAAGTCCTCTCTGAGGGACTTGCCGTAATGAGGCATGAGTGCACTGACTTGGTTTCTAACCCAGGACCTTCCAGTTACGAGACCAATGCTCTACCACTGAGCCATCGCACTTGCTATTACGAGTACCAAAGTATCATAATGACTTTTCTTTTCATGTATTATTTTGAGTAGTATGTCAACAAACAGACCTGTTGAATAGTAGTTTATTGCTGAAACATGTTTACCATGTTGAAATTAAATATAAAGTGAAATAAAAACCAATTCAATTTTTTAATTGTAATTCTTGAAAATTCAGCTCCTACTATAGTTGTGTACTGTAAAAGAATTTAAAACAAGGACTTCTTTTAATTCATGTAATGGTATTAATTCTTTGAAGAGACCAACTGCTGTTTTTGCAAATTCATAAAACCCCAATACACTACCCATTGTTACAGCATATGAAATGATATACCGTTAATGCCCCACTGTCCTACTTGTAGCTACTTGCTCCCTCTATATAGAAAACAATGCATAATCGGTGACCATTGGTCCCCCATGATCCTCTTTTTCTATGTTAACTGAGAGCCGAGTTAATGAGATAGCCACCTGTTATTGACCACGCTGTGTGGTCTAATCCCTCCCGGCCAAACTAGTACAGCCGGCCTTTTCGAAGAAATATATAATAATACAATTTCATACAAAATATACAATTTTAAATCCTTGAATCGTTATGTGGACAGAAGAAACACTAAATATTCAAGTTAAAATATGTGAATATAAATCAACTGCCATGGTCTTATATAATCATCAAAAGTAACCTTTAGAATAAATTATAAAAAGCAATTTTTCACTTTTCTGCTTTTAGCTTTTTTCCCCCTAAAGGTGACATACGATCAATGTCTATCACGTTGCTATGTACCAAGCAGGTGTGCCGTTTTCAACCCTTCAAGGACATGGATATTTAGGGAGGTAATGTGAATCAGCATTTCTTCAGTGAATTGGCAACACCGACATCTTTCTTTCACTGCCACACTAAAAGTTATGTACCCTCAAATGAAAATACATGGATCTAAATTGAATGGAAATGATTGAAAAAAAAGAAAAAAAAATCATTGGGAAATAAACATTACTTTTGACATGTCTTTGGCATTGTAAGGCGCACTCAAAGATTGTAATGCCTGCATCATTTATGCTTGAGCACTAGTTACGTTGGCGGCTTGGCTATAATCAGGATATCAGTGTTGAAGCACTATGGGTATCATAGTGCGACAGATATTTATAAGCATTACATAAGAAACCATTAAAATTATAAAAATGCACCAAACAAAAAAACACCTATCCATATTTCAAGTATCTGTGATCATTATCTATATATGGCTTCCAAGTGGTACAATAAATCAGTGTATTCAATATCATTAGCGCAGTACCCGGATGACAGATCAATATTGTTTTCTTATTGCACAGTCATCCAGGAACTTTAACTATTGATAGTGATATCATATCGATATCACACGAAAACAAAGCCATATATGCTGAGGTAAGTCAAATTTTGTTATTTTGCTAGTCAGCCTGATATAGATAATAATACTAATATTGTATGGCTTTGTTTTTGTGTGATACAAGAATATATTGCTCTCGCTATGACAATATTGCACTCGTCTCCGACTCATACAATATTCTCAATCACGAGCAATATATTCTTGTATCACACTCAAAGCCATTCAATATTACATAAATATCAGGGACATTTGCTAGCTCTAAAATGATCTATTACCTATAGACATGGCCTCCATCATGTTGTCACTGTTTCCTGATGCATCGGCGGAGAACCTTAGATGCTTCTCGGGCATCTCACTGATAGACGCCAGGTTACCACCGGTTCGGATCTGAGAGGCATCTATGGAATTCCTCTTCTTGGCCTTCTGGGGTAGCGAACTGAGGACCTGCAATGGGAAAGGGGGGATTGACGCAGGAGGGTGAGCGAGCAGAGGAGGGCAGATGGTTGTACGGAGAGAATGATATAGAGGGCACATGAGAGAGAGAGAGAGAGAGAGAGAGAGAGAGGGAGAGAGAGCAGGAGAGAGTGTAAGAGTGAGAGAGAGAGAGAGAGAAAGAAAGAGTGTGAGAGGAAGAGAGAGTGAGAGAGGAAAAGAAAGTAAATATAAACAATTGAGAGTAAGTGGATGAAAGAGAGGGAGGATTACATTTAACTTTGCGTGCTTTAAAAAACTTCAGATATGATGCAATCGGATTTTATTTACTATGGGGATTTGAATCTACAAAGAATATGACAATTTTGAGAAAACTGAAACACAATTATATCTACTCCTGCTTTTTTAAATTGGTTTACACTATCATAAATAGCATCTTTAGTTATCATAACATTCATTATCCCTCAATCAATACCATTGAAAGTAGAACTAGAAGCGGTACTCATAAATTGTATACCGGTAGCTGTAGTGATAACGAAAGTAGTAATACAGAAGTAGATGTGGTTTTAATAGTAGTTGCAGTAAACATAGTTAACATGTATCACTCAAAATATTGTTATCATCATTACTTCATGTATAACATTTAATACCTTGTAGGGCAAGTCCACAGTAGTCAGTTACCTACATCATCAAAAGGTTTTAATAGTATATATGTACAACGATATTTTCTACATTTATATTGCCTGTCTTATCTACACTTCCCTTAAAGGTACTATGTCCCATTTGCAGGCCAAAAAAATGAAAAAGTTAAATTCCAACTGCATTTGAAAGATAATACTAATTTAGAACTTCCCTAAAAAAGGTGGGGCTTGAAAATGTCTTCAAGTGGGAAAATAATGACTATTAGTTGTCAAATCGACTTTAGGGCTATAGAGCCCAAAAGTAATTGTCTTGATTTTCAGACAATTGTATCATATGGTCATACGTTTTATGCTGCGCAAAGATTCAATCAGTTTAATCTTGGCCATCACAAGAAGTGGGTTATTGATGTAGACAAATGCTCATGTACATGTATGCTTTACAACTCTTTTCATGTATGTTATTACCAAAGAAGAAAAAAGCCAGTCAGTCACTCAATAGTGTCTGACAGTAAAGGCTAGCAAGTAAACAGGTTTCCTTGCATAATTTGAATATGAGGACACTGCTAACGTTTAAATTTCACAGATAGGACATACATGACATATTCATAATTCCTGCAAAGTTCTACAGCATTTGGGGTTGGCTGCAAAAGGGACATAGTACCTTTAAAACATGGTGCTAATTTACTGTACATTATACACTGTTGAATTATCCATCTGTAGTTACTTTTTCCAGTCGGTATGAATCTGATTTAAACAAAAATGTAAATGTGGAAGGAACAAACTTCAAACCTCAATGGAACCTATCTAAATGATAACCCGACAAGATATTCAATCGGATGTTCAAGCGATACTGAACTGATAAACTTATACTGCCCAAGTGTACTGTTTATTGAACAGGGCCATCTCACGGTCAATTTGCCAACTGTGCATAACCCGATACCTAATTCCCACAGAGGACTTGATGCGAGAACCAATCTACAACTGGGGAAGCAGCGCGTTACGGGACCATACTGCTACAGCTGACCCGAGAGGGCGCTAGAGGGGATTTTGCAGGAGGGCTCCCAGTACAGTATGGCTTTAATGTTTGTTTACTTGTCTTTGTTCTTGGTAAAATGTATGACATCATATGATCAAACTCGTTGGAATTCAATTGCTCTATGGCACTTCAAGTAGGAGTAGAAGATTTTATGATTATTGTTATCATGATGTATGAACGAATTAGTTGATAAATAAAAGTTTTTAAAGATTTTGTTTTGTAAATAAAAAATATAAAAAAGGACCAGAAGAGGCAACAATTTATTTTCTTCATAAATTATTTTTAAAATTAACAGCATAAGTACCAATGATATTTATAAAAGTAAAACTTGTTCATATGAAAGTCAGAACAAACCTTAGCTTCTGACATCATTCCTGGACACTCGTTGATTTGATTCCCCAAACCAATGACCAAAACGTCCTCGGGCTGAGTGACCATTACACATTCGGTTTGACCAGTGATCTCAAGACTGTCATCATCTTGACCAGATGGACTGACCGTACTCGTCTTACCCATCCTCCTCGCTAGTACACTGCTCGACACTGGACACAAAGAGAAACAATAGCAACAAGAACAATATGAGCGAGGTTTGCGTTTACAGAACAGTTAAATAAAACAAATAAACTTTTTCAAAATTTAAAACACACACACAAAAGTTCTGCAATTTAAGTTTTAGCATTGATATCTCTTTTGTTGGCACATTATTATACTTGACTTTGGTATCATTGAAAAGCCTCTTTATTCCTCTTTACGATGATGCCCACTTTGTAATAGGTATGCCACTCTCCACCCAGGTGTTAAATGAGTACAGGTACAAATGAACATCTTGAATGCTGTGAGCACGGAAAGCGATAGCCTAGAAGAGCTGGGGTTACATAGGAGCGCCTTGAATACCTTGCGCTATTTAAATATCCAATATTATTATTATTAATTGTGAAATGGTGAGTGCAATTCGAATTCATGCATTAGGAAAGTGAATAATTCTATATCGCGTTGGAAGAAAAAAATTAAAATAACACCTGCAGGTTACAGCAGTCTGACTATGCTGAGTATAAAGATGATCTCATTGCCAGGAAAGAAATTGTGAAAGAAGAAATGCACCCAGAGTGGTTTAACTTCTGGAGTTGTGTTTGACTGCAATTCTTTATGCAAGATTGCAAGAGGCCCCTGTACATACATGCACAGTAGAATGTGATTAAACAGAGTAAAAAACAAAGAATTAAATGGCAGTAATCTGAAAATTCTAAAGGACATAGAAGGTGCAGAGATGTTTCCCTTGTATATATATATATATATATATAAAGAGGGATACACATGAAATAAGCTTCAATAAACTTGAATAAGTGACTCGGTAACATTGCCTCAGAATCTGAAACAAAAACCTGGATTTAGCTCATGCTGCAATCATAGTTACCAGTATAAACCTTTAGGTCAGTCAGGAATCCTATGAATTTTACAAGCCGATCGCTGTCCGATTATCAAGATATTTATGATTGGAAATCAAAATATTTTTTGTTTTCCTAACGTTTTTGTAATACTACAGTCCATTGGGAAAAATGAGTATGGTAAAACCGGTCACTCAAATTTTTACTTTTTTGAGGCACTTAATGATCATTTTGAAGCGCACTTGACACTGATAACACGTAAGGCCATGCATCTCATATTTAACATTGTTAAACAATGCCTTTAAGCTAAAATGAAACTTTTGAAATCAAAATGAAACATCTGGGCACCTTGTGTGGTGGATATGTGTGCTATAAAAATATCCAATATTATATTGGATACTGTATGATTATTTTCATAAATTATTGAGTTGCATTACATAGGCATGACATGCTTTGTTTCGTCCCAGTCATACCATACATCCCCTTGCTGGTTTCAGGTAATTTTCTGCCTGTCATACCAGATTTTATCCAAACTTGATCAATATGAAACTAGACTGCAAGGAATCTGCATGTACAGAATCTTTTTTGACACTTGAAAATACAATTTCTCTTGGGTGAAGCCTTAAAAAAGCTTCATAATCGTTTTAAGGAGCCACATTACGAGTTCTATTTCTAGTCTAGAGCCAGCGTACATTGTAGATCAGGCCTTGTCATGCATTGTTTATAAAACTTTATGCATCATTAAAGGTAATACAAAGTTTTGAAGTGGGGTCATGAATTTGGTTCAAATGAACATATTGGAAGCATATGCGATTTTACAATATTCAATGATCGTTGTCGCGGTTGAAAATCGAGTCTTGATTGTAAATAATAAACTCTTGATGTTGTATAGCTCCCTCTCAAGACTGATATTACTTTACCTTTAAAAAACAATGTTTCATGAATACAATCGACCAATTTGCTATTCCCGTTTGGAAATTATATATCAGAACTGCATATTCTGAGATTTTCATGGTTCCAGCTGCCATGGAATGGCCTTAAGCGCTATTTGAAATATTTAAATTTACCGGGAAAACCGGTAAAATTTTGATTTTAGGGGCTAAATTTTGATTTTAGGGGCTAAATTTTCTCATGTTTATTATACATCTACAGGGGCATCCAAATATATCAACATTTTAAAGTATTACTATCCATCCAATTTTCAAAATTTCCCCAAGACTTTGCATTACCTTTAGGGAAAATGGTTTATGTTTGTATAAGTATAAGAACAATATCCCAACTCCTGTAATAAATCCCCCATCATTTTCAACACATTATTCATCTAGTACTGTGTCACATTTTTACTTTATGCTTCTTTTAAGTTTATTGGCGTTCTGTCAAGATTGCAGCACCTTGAAGCAAAATATTCTCCCCCTACCTTTCTCTTTCTTTCTACTTGCAAAGACTTGCAAAGACTTGCAAAGGTGAACTTAGTTCTGATATCATGAATTCGGAAAAGCCACTCTAAATTTAGCCAGACATGGCCAGAAGCCAAGCGGTGCTTAGATGCTCCGTAATCAATCCCATACAGTGATTATTACAGAGGGCTCGTTCCCATTGCAAATACAATATTTTGGGGGGTACATTTCCTTCAAAGATATAGACCGGAAGTGGTAAAATTGTGGGTCAAGGGTTTTGGGTGCAAAATATTCATTCAATATTGTTTAAATATTGCCTTCAGAGGTTTAGATGGCAATACTTTAATCTAAATTCGCAAAAAAGCAGAAATATATGCCCAAATGTTCAATGTTGAAGTGCATCCGCGATATTTATCCAGGCCGGATCGTTATGATAATTTACCAAATATATCAATTAGTAGGCGGTTTTCCGGCAAAATTTGTATCATCGCGTATTACTCAAAACATATTCTTTCACATGATTGGTAATAAGAGCTTCCATTTCATTTTTTGAGAGGGGGGCGTTTCCAAAATTGGTCTATACCTTTAAGATGTCGTGTACATCCCCTGATATAGTTCATGCTTTATACTATACGCAAATTAAGACTTGAACATGATTGTTTTTCATCTGAGAAACAAAGCTCAGCTAGATCATTAAATGATACGCTAGTGGCATTTACACTACTGCAAGCAGAAACCATTGGTATTTCTCACATTCCAGTGTTTTGTTGGTGTTTTTTTTCTAACGCTGACGAAAACTCCATTGGTTTTTGCAGTGTAAATGCACACCCTTAAATCACTGGTGAATTGTTCCAGTTTTGAGTCACATGACCCTCCTCACTTCCGGGCTAAAACATGCGCAGAAAGCAGCGACGAGTGGAAAATGTGCACAACTCATAAAAAAATATTAAAAAATCAGAATTATCAAACACCAACAGTTACTGTAAACAATTTGATATTAGCGCGATTAATTTTTCACGCTGAGCGACCCCTAAACATATTTGCTGGTTTTTAAACTCGCGTTCTACCAAATTTAGGCCATACAGAACACACATAAAAAGTCATGTTCATATTTGGGGGGGGGGGGGGTTCTAAAATTTGCGGACACCGACTTTAGCGCGAAATCCGCGAAAATTAAATTACCACAAATATTCCTGCATTTTCAGCAGTGTAAATGACAGTTTTTGAAATGAACTTTAAAATGTAGAATTGTGAATGGGCCTACTGAGGGAACACACCAAACAGACTGAAATAAATACTCATTGTGTGTAACCTGAGAGTGTGTGACAACTACCCACCTAATTGGATAATGTACTGTGACCAAAATGTGAAATATGTTTGCTGAAGCTTGCATACCGGTACTGTATTAGACTAAGCACACATTATAGTGAACAATCAATCAGCAATTATTACACAGCAATAATAAAAAGTCAACAAAAAGCATAGCATCCCCTCGCCGGGAACAAAAAGCCTATATTTAGCAATGTTTGCATAATAAGGTGTGACCTTTGATGTACACAACATTACTAATACGTTATTGAATGAAAGGCACATTTTCGCATAAATAATTAGGTATTTCTCACATATTTCATGAGCTATGACCTTTGACCTATATACTCTGAAATAGAACTTAGGTTGTATTTTGATACCATGTACACTCATATCAAATCTCATTAAAATCCGTCAACCGTTACTAAAGTTATCGAACAGAAACCGGGTTTGGGTATTTTTGCATATTCAATGAGCTATGACCTTTGACCTACATACGCCTAGAAACATACAAATGTGACATACTATTATCATCTAATACAATATCTTTAAATTTATTTACCTATAGAAGCGAGGTTTCCCTTGAAGCTGAGGTTGGGGGAGGATGCTCCAGGAGCGATGCCTGACTTGGGGGAGGTGATCTGGCTACCCTGAGGACAGGGAATTGCGTTGGTGGTAGGGGCGGGCTTCTGCCCCCCTGCTGGAGTGTGAGGGGTGGAGGCTGGGAGGCTGGCAAGGTGACCTTCTAGGTCCTTGAAGAGGGCCTGGTCCGGGTTGGTGGCTAGCACATCTCTGACATATGAAATCTGAAATGAGGGTGAGAGATTTGTTTTAATAGTTGGTTTGGTATATAATATATATACATGTATGTTTAATAAAATAATCTTCAAATTGTCGACTAACATGCGATCATTGCAACATTGCAAGAGCCAACAAGTGTCCATGTTTCTATCGTCCTTTCAATGCAGACTTCACCACTGTCAAAACTTTAAGAAGTGAAAGGGGTCTAAGGTCAAATATAGGATTGTTGAAATGGGGGAGGGGGAGGTTGGGTGGGGGAGGGGGGAGTCAGTGCCAGTCTTTCGGTTCCATAAATTTTTTGTTTTATTATGCTCTCTTTGTGAGCATCTGGAGAGGGGGAGAGAGGTGGGGAGGGGTTGGACCATTTTGCCCCAGGATCGGCCTAAGGGTTCTAGCAGGTACAACCACTTCAATTCAAATCAATTCAAAAGACAACATTACATACATGTATAACAAAACCCTCTACTCCCACTATTGCTCCAGCTCACAATATTATGAACCATGCAGAGCAATATAACACTGAGTTCATATAGGAAATCTATTTATTCATATGGTTATATCTCAGCACATACTTAACATATTCAATTGGTTTTTTATATTCGGACATTATTTTTGATGCTCTTTCGGAATATGAAGGAAAAAAATGAGAAATTCCAAAAATATAATTTTTATGACGTCACACTTCACCACTCTATTGGACAAGGACATAAAATAAACTGAATAGGTTGCAACCTGAGAGGAAACATAAGCCTTATATAAAGGTTGACCGATTTTTTATGATAAAAAAAAAATGAAATATTTCTTCATGTACATCCTACTAAAACCCTCTACTCCCTTCCTACTTTGAACAGAGGAGCTGAAATCGACGTTAAAATGAATGTACATGTAATGTGTAAGGTGTGAGGCACCAGGTAAGGTGTATTTATATTTGTCTGTACACTGTACATCGCTAGCTCATATACATAGCTCCTACTTTACTCCCCCCCCTTCTCTTCTCACCATTTCTTGGCAAAGGCTCAGTTGAAGTGCATGTGGTAGTATGATAATTTATATGTATACTGTACATGTAAGTATTAAACACTATGAACATGACTGACAATGAAAGCGGACAAAATATACAGTTCCTCAGGTAGACAAAAGAACATCCCTTCACTGCTATTAATGAAACATGTGTAGAACAGGTGTGACATGCATATTCACCTTTTTACATAATAGCAGTGAAGGGATGTTCATTTGTCTACCTGAGGAACTGTATATTTTGTCCGCTTTCTTTGTCTGTCATGTTCATAGTGAAAGCCTGTCTGTACTAGTTTGGCCAGGAGGGATTAGACCATCCAGCAAGGTCACTGACAGGTGGTTACCTTGTCAACTCAGCTCTCAATTAACATAAGAAAAAGAGGATCATGGGGGACCAACAGGCACCGCTTAGACATTGTTTTCTATATAGAGGGAGCAAGTAGCTACAAGTAGTATACATTGGGGCTTTAAGATGTGAAAGGGGTTTCTTGTAGTAGTTGTACAGTCCCTCCGAGCTACCCAACCCCCTTCCCCCTCCCCAGCTCTGAATAGAGGAGCAGCTGAGAGCCATTTTGAGCTTTCCTTCCTGGCTGTGTCAAAAAGACTTGTTTCATTTTCAAGGTGAATGTCAAAGAAACCCCTATTTTATGAGTTGTAGTCATCGTGTCTCAGAAACCATACAAGAATGGCTGCCCCAGATGAGAAGGAAAGGTCGGGAGAGACAGAGAGAGAGAGAGAAAGAGAGAGAGAGAGAGGGGGGATGGGGATGGGGGGACGGGGAGAAGAGGGAGGGAGGGAAAAAGGAAGAGAGAGAGGGAGGGAGGGGGAACGAAGGGGGAGAGGGAAATCGGAAAGGAGAGGAGAGAGGGAGGGAGGGAGGGAGGGAGGGAGGGAGAGAGGGAGGGAGGGAGGGAGGGAGGGAGAGAGGGAGGGAGGGAGGGAGGGAGGCAGGCAGGCAGGGAGGCAGGCAGGGTGGGAGGCAGGGAGGCAGGGAGGCAGGGAGGCAGGCAGGCAGGGAGGCAGGGAAAAAGGAAAGGAGGGAGGGAGGGGGAATGAAGGTAGAGAGAGAGACTGGCGCGGGTAGGACGGGGAGGGAGAGGGAAATTGGAATGGAGAGGAGAGAGGGAGGCAATGAGGCAGGGGAAAAGGAAAGGAGGGAGGGAGGGGGAATGAAAGGGAGAGAGAGACTGGCGCGGGCAGGACGGGGACGGGGAGGGAGAGGGAAATCGGAATGGAAAAGAGAGAGGGCAGGACGGAGGGAGGAAGGGAGAGAGGGAAGTGAGGGAGAGAGGGAAGGAAAAGAGAGAGGGGGAGGAAAGAGATAGAGAGAGAGAAGGGTGCAGGCAGGACGGGGAGGGAGGGAAATCAGAATGGAGAGGAGAGATAAGGAGGGAGAGATAAAGAGGGAGAGATAAAGAGGGAGAGATAAGGAGGGAGAGAGGGAAGGGTAGTGGGAGGGAAGGGTAGTGGGAGGGAGGGAGACGAGAAAGAGGGAAAGATTGAGGGATAGATGATTAGAGAGAGAGAGAGAGAGAGAGAGAGAGAGATGGTGAAATATTGAATGAAGAGAGACATGCAGAAAGAGGGGGAATAATGTGTACAGGTATAGACAATCTCACAAACATGTTCATGGTCATGTACATGTATTCTAGTACTGGTACAAATACGTTAAAAACACAAAATTCTACATTTCCTACTGAAGTCCACAGAACCCTTTCTCGTTGGCCCTTTAAAGAGAAAGTCAGTGACATTTTGTATCTTTGGGAAGCCCGGGTTTATGTTTAGACCAGGAAGTGACTTTCCCCATTGTCTTGCCGTAGCGTGAGGTACAAAGGTGACAGAGAGAGGAGGAAGCTAGACATCCGAAAGACTACTCAAACAGAACTCTAACCAGACCACAAAAGTTTACATATTTCCCCCCCCCCCTCTCTCTCTCTCTCTCTCTCTCTCTCTCTTTCTCTCCTTCAGTCTGTCTGTCCAGCTCTCTCCTTCTATGTCTCTCTCTCTGTCTCTCCCCTTCTCTCTCTCTCTCTCCCTCCCTACCTCCCTCCCTCTCCCTCTATCTCTCTCAATGACAATAAGTAACCACATACAATGGAGACTATAGTTTAGACCTACATGTACACCATGTTATAGTGCCTACAACTCCCATGTTCTTTCCAAGTTTGACTATATTCCATTATCACTGGATGTAATTTATACTTTAATACACACAAGACCATATCAATGTTATAACTTCTGGAGCCTATGACCTACATGTAAAAGCATTGCTTTCTCTTTAGGCTCCATCATATTTCTCCCTTCATTTAGCTTAGTCTCATGTATTATTCTGGTTGTTTGTATTCATAATTTCATACAAAAAACAAAGAAATGTGTAACATGCCCAATGTAATAAGGTAATATACAACATGTGATATACAGTATATGAAACATAAACATCAAATGAACTGAAAACAGAACTTACAACATAATACACGTACTTTCATTATTCAAATTCTTAGAATTCTCATCACATGGATCATAACTTGGTTTGCAATCCAATCTTCAAATTTGTTGATGAAATTTTTTGAACATGGCAATTTGACAGCAATTAGCTTAATGTGAATAGGCAACTGATTTGTATACATTGTTGTATACATTGCTATATTTAGTAATACTGTAAGTTCATGATCCAATTTGTGGTTTTACGCCAATTCAACAACTATCAAATTTGCCCTTCAGCCCATGATCCTTGAAAAAACACACACAAATATTGGCTTATAACTTAGGTACCAGGGGGGTGTTTCACAAAGATCCTAAGTAGAACTTAACCCTAAGTCGGACTTAAAAATTATGAAGAGCCATTTGTAGCCTTAAAACGAAAAAATATTCAAAAGCAGAAATTCCAAGTAATTTAGACTTTTCATAAATTCCACATCAAGAACATGAAATCTCCTTGATAATAGATAATATGAATGATTTGAATCAACATTGTATGCCTTTTAAAATAACTTTTACAAAATATTTTCAAAGATGCTAACGGCTATCAATAATTGTTAAGTCCAACTAAGAGATAAGTTCAACTGTTTCCCCCAGATTAGGTCTAGATTGGTCCGGTGAGAACGGGGTGATTGTTTGCAATAATTTGAAGGGTTTGGTCAAAATGACAGGAAGAGGAAGGAATTTGTCACTGATATGCAGCAGGTGACCAGTTACAGACTTAAGGGGACAATCCATCCTTTGAGAGCCAGAAGGACATAAATTCTGTGTTAAAGATAAAGTTGAGTTTTGGTCATGCAATTGTATTGTGAAAGAAGCGTTGTGGAATCGATCAGGAAAGGTTGATCAAACAAGCATATACATGTACCTGTACATGTAAGTATTGGTGTGTACTGCAAGGTTCTGGAATCATCAAAATGATCAGAAATTAGGCCCAGTCTTGGTAAAATTACAAGCACTGTACACAGAAAGATGTATATGGGACTACGCGATATCTATCCAGTCCGCGATGACCAAATATAGCAATTAGTAGGCGGTTTCCCAGCAAAATTTGTGTCATCACGTATTAGTCAAAACATATTCTTTCACATGATTGGTAATAAGAGCTTCCATTTCATTTTTGAGAGGGGGGGGGGGCGTTTCCAAAACTGGTCTTTACCTTTAAATCATATACAGTATGTGTACATGTACAATAATGCCCTTCTGGCTCTCAGCTGACAATATGAATGAACCAAGATTAAGGTTGATTTGAGGTTTAAAGGGACTCAGTAACATTGCCTCAGATTCTGAAAAAAAATCCTGGATTTAGCTCATGCTACAATCATAATTATAAACCTTTAGGTCAGTGAGGAATCCCATGACTTTTACAAGCCGATCGCCTGTCTGATTATCAAGATATTTATGATTGGAAATAAAAATTTAATTTTTGTTTTCCTAACAATTTTTTAAAACACTACAGTATATTGGGTAAAGTGAGTATAGTAAAACCGGTCACTCAAAGATTTTTTTACTTATTTGAGGCACTTCATGATCGTTTTGAAGCGCAATTTTTGTTAGGGCTTTAAAGATACTATGTCCCTTTTGCAGCCAACCTCAAATGCTGTAGAACTTTGCAGGAATTATGAATATGTCATGTATATCCTATCTGTGAAATTTAAACGTTAGCAGTGTCCTCATATTCAAATTATGCAAGGAAAACCGTTTACTTGCTAGACTTCACTGTCAGACACTATTGAGTGACTGACTGGCTTTTTTCTTCTTTGGTAATAACATACATGAAAAGAGTTGTAAAGGGTACATGAGTATTTGTCTACATCAATAACCCACTTTTTGTGATGGCCAAGATTAAATTGATTGAATCTTTGCGCAGCATAAAACGTATGACCATTCGGTACAATTGTCTGAAAATCAAGACTATTACTTTTGGGCTCTATAGCCCTAAAGTCGATTTTACAACTAATAGTCGTTATTTTCCCACTTGAAGACATTTTTAAGCCCCACCTTTTTTAGGGAAGTTCTAAATTAGTATTATCTTTCAAATGCAGTAGGAATTTAACTTTTTCATTTTTTGGCCTGCAAATGGGACATAGTCCCTTTAATATTATATTACACCATGTCACAAACACTGATAACACGTAGGGCCATGCATCTCTTTTTTTTTTTTCTTTTTTTTTTGGGGGGGGGGGGGGGGGGGTCTAAAATAGAAATTTGGATACCAATGTGACCTACATGATTGTTCTTTCAAGATGATAGCCCCACTTGAGCTGTGATCAGACCAAACCAAGAAACAAGAAAATTACATATTTTGTGATGTTTATATTTGTTTGAATAGTTGACTCTACTCAGTCTTGGTAATGTATGGAACAGCAAATGACTAAATACGTTGGCCTTGCCCATTTTAATACTACATGTAGATCCTTCTTTGTAATCAATACATGCTTCAGCTAATAATGTAATTTTCCCATTTTAATTTTCACATCACTGTGTTTAAGTATTACCAGCAAGTTCATATTACATGTACTGTACATGTACGGGCAGGTTCAGTTCTGACGAGAACCAGGTAGTGTATATAAAGTAAATAATCTTCAATTCTGGTTATTGAATTACAGTTCCAAAGAAACTGGCTCGTACTACATGTAGTTCTGAAGTATTTATCATTTATAATAAATGTTTTTTTAATTTTTAAATTAAATAGCTCAGTCGGTAGAGCAGTAGTCTCGTTATCCGGTGACCCGGGTTCGAAACCCAAGTTAGTTGATGCGCTAGTGCCCTTTGGTAAAGCATTTATCCTCATTACCAGGTCCCTCAGAGAGGACCTTAAGCCGTCGGTCTTCTGGTTGCTTTATACTATTACAAGCATTTATTGCTTTTTTTATAGCTGTCAGGTAAAATAACCACCATTATCACTATCACTTGTCATATCTAGATTATGAATGTATTGAAAGAGCCATACTTTTCAGGGATCAATTTTCTATGATAAAAACACAAATTGCATAAAAACAATGATAACGGTCACAAATTATTTTGTTTAACTCAACCTTCTCTTTAAGTGGCTGCAATACATAATGATGTAATGGGGATTGAGTTGTATACTGGACATGCCAGGTTTAACGTTGCCCTATTCAAATGTAAATTATCTAGCTCCATGAACATCATACTTGTGTAAATACCACAACTAAAAATGGTATTTCCTGCTAAGGAATGAAAGAGATACAGGTACATAGAAAATAAGTATATATCATCAGGAAGCAGGATTTTTGGAAAGAAGTTGAAAAAAATATAAAGAAATATTTCACGTCTAATTTGAATTTCAAACCACATTATTTATTGTTTGGTATTGATTTTAATTCAAAGAAGGATAAATATGTTGATATCATTTTGAATTATGCACTTTTCACTATTTACAAAAGCTTTGTTGGAAAAGAATTTAAAGAGGAAAGTACAAAACAGAGACTTCTTCATATTTTGTTTTACCTATTGAATTATTGTTTACAGATAGAAGAAAATATCAGAAAACCATGTACATGTATATCCCTCCAGAAATGGAGGCAAATGCTGAAAATGTGAAAATGATTATTTTATTATGAGGAAATAAAGAAGACCAGAAATGGTTATTTACACACAAATAAAAAAAAATCAGGAAGCAGGATAAATTTCAAAGAACTTCAGTGTTGTAAAACAGATCAGGCAAGGGGGAGAGAAACTAAGTTTTATAAAAACCAAAAACCTCTCAATAACGACCTTCCACATACATGTACTTTAAAAAATTGTTTTACAGACAGCTCATTCAAAGACATCTGGAACTATAGAGAGTAGAAAGTGAAAACAAAAACCATAACAATAAAAGAAGTACTATGTTCATGTACTTACACTCTGATAAATTATCTTGAGATGCAAGGGAGGTTTATAACGTAGAGTGGATAGACCTTAGATCTGCTCTCTGAAACTCAAGCTTTATTATTTTGCTAGTTTTTACAAAACCAGCAAAACCTCAAACCCCAGTTAATACTACACTGCACACATGAAGTAATGTTTGCATTGCTGAAATATTAATAGAGCAAATAGTCTGTATATTTGTAAGCATTTTTTAAAATATCTATAACCTTTGTATTGCAAACTATATACATTTTTATCACAATCATCACCCATTAAAAAAAAGGGAAAACTGAGAAACCAAAATCTGTGAGGCTGGCAAGTACCAGGTGGTGAGTATGGATTAACTGGGAGACGCAATGGCTCAGTGGTAGAGCAGTGGTCTTGTAACCGGGAGGTCCCGGGTTCGAAACCCAGTTGATGCGCTAGTACCCTTTGGTACGGCATTAATCCTCATTACCTCTTTTCAATAGTAAGCATACAATGTACCTTATTCATGTAAAATCCATATTCATGAAATGATGCTAATATCACAAACTCCCCTTGATCAAGCTTGCACTGGTTTTTAAATATTAAAAAAAAACTGTCTTTGATTTGCCAGGAAGGTTTCCCACTAAAACTTCCTGACAAAAAAAAAATTGTAGTTCTCTACTATCCACTCTAAATAATTCTTTTGGGGGTCTGCAAAATTTCCTGAAAAAATGTGACACCAGGAATTCACCAGAATGAATGAAAGTTCTTTCAGAGTTTATCTCTTCTCATCACTCTGTTTCTGAGTAACACTTTAATAGTCTTGTACCCACAGAGTACAATAGTACTCATATGTATGTATTACATTGTAGGTACATGTATGTTGAAATACAGGAAATACCATCACATGCTGGTATCTGATATTCACTGTAGTTCACTGTTTTCATATTCTGGTTTGGGCCATCATGAAGAATGGTTGAACTTTAACACATTGACTTCTGCATTCTCTCATTACTTAGAATTAATACAGGAACTAGATGGCTCCAGTAGGAAATGAGTTAATACAAAAGTAATCTAACATATCAGGACAGGCACTTTGTAAAATACTAGAGCCATTTGGCTGCTGCATGACATTTGCATTTATTTCATTTCTATTTTGTCCTATCAACAATAGCATATAAACACAGTCACTTCCGGCTAGCTACCGGTAACTGGCCAGATTGGCAATATTAGTAGTTTGTGAAGTTTGCACCATTACAAAAGTTTTGAGTTATTTTCTTCGTTTTGAATATTATATTTTGATTTGATTTGATTTATTGGTTTCTGAATCTTTTTTCTTTTTATCATCATACATTTTCATGAACATACATGTAATATGGTTTGATACAATATTTTTAAGTGTATATAATTTTATACAGATAATAAACGAAATTAAACAAATATATTGAATGCATAATTAACATACATTAGATGCAGGAGGGCTACAGAAATAAGCAAAGTAGCTTGACGTGCCCGCAGCCCTCAACTTAGATACAACAATAAAAAATATAAATAAAAGTGTGAGTATAAGAGTGAAATAAGAGTGTGACTTGCAGAGAAGAAGAGGAAAGGGGAGAGAAGGAGCGTTGGTAATAATACAATAAATCTCATACATCTGCTGATTAAATGCAGGTTCATTCATGAATGAATAAACGATGCTAGGTCATGGACGATTACACAATGTAGATCATGTGTAGTGTCCCTCAAGGCTCCATTCTGGGACCCCTTCTTTTTTGTTGGTATGTAAACAATATTATGAATGCATCATCTGTTTTGTCATTTATTCATTCTCTTTGCTGATGACACAAACATTATTCACTTACACAATAACATTTAAACACTAGTGAATCCCTTTAATTTGGAGTTACCAAAAGTGTCCACATGATTTACATGTAAGTGCAACAAGTTATCTCTTAAATCTAAATATAAACAAAACTCATTATACACTTCAACCACCCCAAAGCACACTGAGCTGCAGATATGACAATTAACTTATTGATTGATAGCTTGCACTTAGAACAAAAGCTTAACTCTACATGTAGGTTTCAAGGAGTGATTATTGATGAATGTCTATGGAACGACCATCTAATTTATATTAAAACATCTAAAGGTGTAGGAATTATTTGTAATGTGAAACAATTTTTTTTCTCAAAGGATTTTCGATGTATTACTTTGTTTGGGCGAGTTGTGCAAAGAAAAAAGTAAATCCCATTCATTTTTTGCAAAAAAGGGCTATTTGCATTTGTACTGGATCATCATGTCTTGACCTTATTTCAGAAGCTGAAAATGGGACTGACTACTCACCAAGCTATGTAACTCTGTCTCCGTGATGAAGGTGGAGCCCCTCGTCATTCCTTTGAGCTGGCTGGTGGTTGGTGGCATGTCGGATGAGCTCAGGTTATCAATCAATGCATCCAAGTAGCTGGACATACAACCCTTAAAAAAAAACAGATATGAAAATCAATATATAGTCTTCGGTAAGCACTTGATAAGCATCATATTTTATTATTATTATTATATAGCAAAATTGAAATATGTACAGCTATTGTAGTCATTATAGAACACTTAAATCACATTGTACCCCCCCCCCCCCCCTGAAAGAAAAAAAATATAAAGAAAAAATTTACATTTATGTAAAGATAAATACAAATGTAAATGATGATCAGTAATTGCATGATGAATGGTATATATCACTCATTTTTATACTTGTATAGCTACTGTAGACACTACATTTAACACTTTCACATTGTCCCCCCCCCCCCCTCAAAAAGGACAAGAAAGAAAGACAAAATGTTCCTATAAGTAATGAAAATGTGACTGATGATCAGTAACGTGAAATGGAAAATAAAGCAATTTATTTCAATTTAACAAAATAATGTTTTAAGAGTTTGATAATTTGGGCAACCATTTCTCTTATATTATGAATATTTGGTTCCCCTACATGGAAGTTTAATTGTTAGCCCCAGGCCACTACTTAGTGTCTTGCGTAAAAATATCTTCTATGATCCCCTCGATCTTCAAATTATGACATCACATACATACATGTAATTAATAAGATTTCAAATTCAGCATCTGCATGTGCATTTTCGGATATATCTCTTTGTTCAGAATTCATGTTATCCCCTTTAAAGAAGAAATTTATGAAAATACTCTTCCCAGACTAATGGCGTAGGAAGATGATCCAGTTGCTTAGCAACAACGCATCTGGCAAAATTGCTGTGTAACCAAAGTGGTACTTGGGCAATGTAAGAGCTGGCTGGAAAATGAAGAACTTTATTAAAATCAAATGTGTACTGAACCCACCTCTTTCTTTGCATTGCATCTGTACAGGTTGCTTTTAACATTTGATGAAAGTCAGGGGCCTTATCACAACTGTGTGTTTAACTGCTTATTTTAACTTTTAAAGACGCATAGAAGTTAACTTTCAAGGGGAATTTGACACCATTTGGGTGTTTACCCAACAAGAGGTATTGTCAATCACCAGGATACAATGTCAGTCTTCAGTTTTATGACCAACATGCCTATTATGCTGTGTTATGGAAAAGTCATTATCTCACATTTTCTGTTTGTAGCCAAAATGGCTAATTTGACTCATGTTCTTTTACACAGAACTAACGCCCCTCCCACCCCAACTCCAACCTTGTACATTTCTTTAAGTACGTTTCACATTTACTCGCAATTATGACAGCGTATCCATTTTCAGAGTTGCCCAAGGCACATACATGTACATATATGTACAGTACATAATAATGCAGTACCATACGTCCTCCTTGACAAATATTTGCCGTTACATTACTCTCAAATTTTGTTTCCCGTTTGTAAAGCAACATACTCATTTCCATTTATGTGATAAATGTATTTTAAAAGGAGATGGTCGTCAGTTTCCATGTGCAGTAGGTCAATATTTATTGGCTGCCACCGGACTTGGATACCATTAATGGACCATGTAAAAGTCTCCCACACAGCAAATTTATATTATCATCAAGAAATAACCTCTAGTCTCTCAGAGAGTCTTCAGGGGTGAGATAATGAAAAGCATTTTGTTTAGTTTGGAGCCAGAAGAGGATTAAAATTTAATAAATACCTCTCTTTTATAGTATGTTGAATAAATCTAGCCATCTGATTGGTCAACATTGAAGTCCTGATTTTAGCCATGCTTGTAATGTGATGCTATGACCACAGGGCTCAAAATAATTTTTTGTCCACAGGGGCTCTTCAAAAAAAAAAAAAAAAGAGCCCCCGTGAGCCTTCTTACGGGGGCTCTTTTTTTTTGGAAGAGCCCCCGTGGACAAAAATTTAATTTGAGCCCTGTGGTCAATAGTTTAATGAGAAAGATGCCTGTTGCCCAGGTAACGGGCTGCATAGGTGAATTTTGCTGAGATCCCCATTGGTTTTTGTGTAAAAAGTTTCTTTGTGCGATTGCGGATACCATACAGTGTGTGTACTATTTCCCGAATATTCGTAACATTCAGGCAACTTACCAGCGAAGATTAAGAGACAAGTGTTTCATATTTTCTGTGATATTTTAACCAATCTTTACTCAAGAAAAGGATAAGGCGAGAATTCTTTGTCGATTTTTGGGGGAATTCGGTATATATACAGTGTAAAAGATATATGGACTGCTTTAATATTCGAGGCATAGCTGTTTCTACACTGGCTCTCGGGGACGTTACATCCTGCTATAGAAACAGCTATGCCTCTCATAGCAGTCAATATATCTATATAGTATAACACAAGGGTTACCTGTAATACCCTTCTGAAAAACAGACATTGGTAACTTTTTTGTTTTAAGTTGAATTACGTAAGTTCAATTTTTACAGCAGGACTCACCTTTGGAAATCTTGCGTAGATGTCCGGTACCCTGCCTGAGGATTCCTTGCTGGTCGTCGACGTCTGGAGAGCCAGACCTTGTAGGATCTGAGCAACCTGCATCAGGTTGAACCGAGCCGTCTCGCTCACCAGGATGTCCGACGTGATGCCATAGGGCTCAGGATCAACGATCGCGGGACCGACGAAGCAGGTCAGCAGGAGATCAGCACACATGATACGGATGTCCGCTGACCCCACTTGACCTGCATCCACCAAGATCTTATGAAGCTGACTGATGATCCAGTCCAGGCTAGGAGGGAAGCAGTAGATGTTACTGTGTAGTCCAATAATGAATTTGTTACATAGTCCCACAAGTTGGTCCATGATGCTGTTCATGTGTTTCTGGACGCTTTGTTCATACTCCGGAGTTCCTGGGGTTCCAAATCGCTGCTTCCGTTCCTCTGGGGAAAAGTGGTCCATTGCCTTTTGGACGTCCGTTTCTAAGCAGACTTCGTCATTCATTAGCACAGCCATGACGGGTTCATGCAACGCTGCTGTCAAGTACAGTTTCCCACTGAACAGGGCTTCTGTGAAAACTTTAAAAGCTATAGCAAACGCACAGCGCCCTCTCCTCAGTAACCGACGAGGATCATCACTCTCCGAGAGCTGGTGTCTCATCAGAGATTGAATGAAAATTAAGAAGTGCTGCTCATCATCATCCACGACACAGTTTCCATAAATACCAGAGATAACAGAGTGCACTAATCCTGGTGCCCTCTCAAGGTTCGCTCTCTCCCCTTGGGCTAAGATCTGAGCCGTAATCGAGGGGTTCTCTCGAAGAAAGTTCAACACGTCTCCGTACAGCGAGTCCTGGAACCCCAGCTGCTTGTACCCATCGACGAACCCGACCCGCTCCAGGGCGTTGGCCCGGTAGCAGCAGGCAGCAGGAGGGGAATTGGAGCTTGCCCTTACCAGACTGTTGAGGGTCTGACGCTGCTGTTGGGTGATCCAGGCAACACGATGGAGTTTGTCCGAGGTCTGGGTTACCTCCTCGTGAAGCCCCTGAAGGAGATTCTTCTCAGACTGGATGTAAAGCCTCTCTTCCTTCAGCCGCTGGGCCAGCGACAGCAGCTCAGCGGCGCTGTTCATCGTAACTGCCATCTTATCAAATCACAAAACACTGCTCTATCGCTGAGTCACAAGTATTCATACTACAAACACCTTTTATTCAATGCCATGTGTTTACATCATACAACAATCTTTACAGTTTATACTTGGGAAAAGTAAAACCTGAGCCTTGCTTACAAACACGGTCTCATGGTATCCGAATGTTCTTCTAAATGTATGTGTCATGTATCAGAGAGTTTTGACAGATACGCCACATGTGGTAGTCATGTGACCAGTCTATATGTCAGGTGGTGGTATCTCTTGCAGAACCCAGACCAGAAGACTATCCTTTTGAAGAATCATGCAGTAGAACACTTGGAATAAGTTCTGTGATAAAAGATAAAGCAAAAAAAAAATAACGAACAGAAGTCTAATTATCAGTGTAACAAATAGAATAATATTACGTGTACACATATACTTTGAAATGCAGTAGGGGAAGGGGAAGGGGCAGGAGAGGGGGTCCTTTAATAAAACCAAATTTAAATCAAAGAGAAATCCAATTAAATACATGTACCGATACGTGTACTCTGAGGGGGTGTAGTTTATCAACTACTAGTATTAAGATGAATAAAAATCCATTTAATCTATTCAATATTATTTATAATGCATAAGAAAAGATTAATACCCCCCCCCCCCCCCAAAAAAAAAAAAAAAAAAAAAAAAAAAAAAGAAAAAAAAAAGTGAAATGAAAATGAAATACAATTCATAGCTTGTGCAGAATTTACACAAGTTTCAGATGCAGGTTATGTCAATGTAAAATATGTTTTATACTGTTTCAATCCTCATAGCAGGAATAAAAATAATTTCTGGCAAAGCTCAAGTATATGTATACAATACAACACACAATTCGAGGTCAACCAGATCAATACAGTACATGTGACCTACTTTGTGTATCCCCAAAATACACAATTAATTACAAGTATTGTAGGCCTATACTATGGTGGCCCTGAAGGGACATCGCGAATAGACTAAATCGTGAAAAATATGCGATAAAATTCACGATATCGTCAATTTTATCGCATATTTTTCACGAAGAAATTCACGAAATTGACGATATCGTGAACTTTATCGTGAACTTTTCACGATGAAATTGACGATATCGTGAATTTTATCGTGAAAAGTTCACGATATAAAGTTCACGATATCGTCAATTTTATCGTGTACTCTATCGTGTACTCTATCGTGTACTCTCCTGACGGGCGCTTCGTAAACAAAACCAGCCCTATAGCTGGGGGAGACAGAGAGAAGGAAAAAAGGGAAAGGGAAAGAGAAGATAAAAGGAAAGAAAGAATAATAAGAAGAAAAGAGGGAAACGGGGGGGGCGAAGGGCTCTTGCCTCCTCCTCACTCCCCCCCCCCCCCCCCCCGCCAAAAAATAAATAAGGAGAGACAGAAGGGAAAGGGAAAGGGAAAGAAAATATAAAAGGAAAGAAAGAAGAGGAAGAAGGAAAGAGGGAAACGGGGGAAGGGCGAAGGACTCTTGCCCCCCCCCCCTCCCCCCGCCAAAAAATAAATCAGAGAGAGAGAGAGAAGGGAAAGGGAAAGGGAAAGAGAAGATAAAAGGAAAGAAAGAAGAGGAAGAAGAAGAAAAGAGGGAAACGGGGGCAAAGGGCTTTTGCCTCGTCCCCCCGCCCCCCGCCAAAAAATAAATAAGAGAGAGAGAGAGAAGGAAAGGGAAAGAGAAGAAAGAAAGAGAAAAACGAAAAAGAGGGAGAGTAGGAAAGAAAGGAAAAGAAAGAAAAGAAAGGAGGCAAGAGCCCTTCGCCCCTGTTTCCATCTTTTCTTATTCTTTTTCCTCTTCTTTCTTTCCTTTTATATTTTCTTTCCCTCTCCCTTCTCTTTCCCTTTATGGCGGGAGGGGGGAGGGGGAGGTAAGAGCCTTTCGCCCTTCCCCCGTTTCCCTCTTTCCGTCTTCTTCTTCTTTCTTTCCTTTTATATTTTCTTTCCCTTTCCCTTTCCCTTCTCTCTATCTCTCTCTCTCTCTCCTATTTATTTGTTGGCGCGGGAGGGGGGAGGAGGCAAGAGCCCCTCTTTTCTTCTTATTCTTCTTCCTTTCCTTTTTTATTCTCTTTCCCTTTCCCTTCTCTCTCTCTCTCTCTCTTATTTATTTTTTGGGCGGGGGGATGCAAGAGCCCTTCGCCCCCGTTTCCCTCTTTTCTTCTTCTTCTTCCTCTTCTTTCTTTCCTTTTATCTTCTCTTTCCCTTTCCCTTTCCCTTCTCTCTCTATCTCTTTATTTATTTTTTTGGCGGGGGGTGGGGAGGGAGGAGGCAAGAGCCCTTCGCCCTTCCTCCGTTTCCCTATTTCCTTCTTATTCCTCTTCTTTCTTTCCTTTTATATTTTCTTTCCCTTTCCCTTCTCTCTCTTATTTATTTTTGGCGGGGGGGGGGGGGGGGGGGGGGGGACGAGGCAAGAGCCATTCGCCCTTCCCCTGTTTCCCTCTTATTCCTCTTCTTTCTTTCCCTTTCCCTTCTCTCTCTCTCTCTCTCTCTCTCTTATTTATTTTTTTTGGCGGGGGGGGGGGGGGGGGGGGGAGGTAAGAGCCTTTCGCCCTTCCCCCGTTTCCCTCTTTCCTTCTTCCTCTTCTTTCTTTCCTTTTATATTTTCTTTCCCTTTCCCTTTCCCTTCTCTCTCTCCTTATTTATTTTTTGGCGGGGGGGGGGGGGAGTGAGGAGGAGGCAAGAGCCCTTCGCCCCCCCCCCCCCCCCCCCCCGTTTCCCTCTTTTCTTCTTATTATTCTTTCTTTCCTTTTATCTTCTCTTTCCCTTTCCCTTTTTTCCTTCTCTCTGTCTCCCCCAGCTAGGGCTGGTTTTGTTTACGAAGCGCCCGTCAGGAGAGTACACGATAGAGTACACGATAGAGTACACGATAGAGTACACGATAAAATTGACGATATCGTGAACTTTATATCGTGAACTTTTCACGATAAAATTCACGATATCGTCAATTTCATCGTGAAAAGTTCACGATAAAGTTCACGATATCGTCAATTTCGTGAATTTCTTCGTGAAAAATATGCGATAAAATTGACGATATCGTGAATTTTATTGCATATTTTTCACGATTTAGTCTATTCGCGATGTCCCTTCAGGGCCACGATACTATACCTCTAAAAGATGAAGACCAGTTCTGGTCATGCGATTGCATTGTGAAAGAAACGTTGTGGAATCGACCAGAAAAGGTTGATCATCTAGCATATATACATGTAAGTATTGGTGTGTACCGCAAGGTTCTGGAATCATGATGATAAGAAATTTGGCCCAGTCTTGGTAAAGTTACAAACACTGTACACAGAAAGATGTAAATGGGACTACGTGATATCTATCAAGGCCAGAATGATATGATGATTTACCAGATATATCAATTAGTAGGCGGTTTAATAGTCAAGACATATTCTTTCACATGATTGGTAATGAGAGCTTCCATTTCATTTTTTGAGAGGGGGGGCGTTTCCAAAACTGGTCTGTACCTTTAAATGCCAATTGTTAATTCATCCAAAATTGGAACGTGGTCAAATTATATAGGTTGAGGTGGGCTTTAACGATACTAACTGATGATACATAAATGTACATGTGTATGCCCACAAGGTAAAAAAATGTAAAAGCATCATTTTACCTAAATATTTCATCACCAACACGTACATGTAGTGTACGTGTACATGTACATGTACATACATCATATGTGGCCCTCAAGTGTGACGAAATAAATTGAGGATATGGTTATTGTACACCATCCTGAAATTCAGGGACTAGATGTACGTGATTTACGTATTTAGTACATATATGTAGAGTAGCCTTGTGTGCTTTGGTTGTGTACAATGTACATTGCTAGATATGGGATCAGAAATTTAATATTTTAGGAAAAAAATATGTGAGAATTACAACGTACATGTACAAAATGTATACCAAAACAGGCTAAAGATGTGAAGATCACTTCGTAATTGGTTTGTCCTTTCCATTTGGTTTGTAAAACGATTTTAACACTTTCCAATTTCCCTGAAAAAACGTTTTCTTAATTCCGACCCTGAACCTTAGAACTTAATGACTTTTTAAAAATGTCTACTGACCCATGGATACAATTAGGGGTCAATTTCATTTCAGGGTCACAGAATTCCAAAAAAATATCTAATTCTAAATTTGATCACTTAAATGTAATCTATCAATAATGTTGGCATGAAATTAGATGTCAATTCTAAATGCAAACAAATACAAATATGTTTCTTTTATTGTTCAGTTGTTGTTGTTTAATTTATTTTCTTTTTTTGTGTACAAAAGATGCCCCAAATATACATTTCATTCAAATCTGTGCTGCTGGGCTCTGGACAAACATTTAATTCCACACTAAATACTACCCTGTACTAAAATCGAATCCAAATACACAGGTATAGAGTACCGAAGCTGTGACATCATACAAATCTATTTTAGGAATTTCTGAATTTTTTCTTCATTTTCCGAAAGAGCATCAAAAATAATGTCCAATTGTCGAAAACCAATTGAATAAGTTAAGTATTGGCTGAGATATGACCATCTGAATAAATAAGTTTCCTATAGGAACTCAGTGTTACATTATTTGCTCTGGTTCCTAGTTATTATGAACCAGAGCAAAATAACACTCACGTTCCTGTAGGAAACTTATTTATTCAGATGGTCATACATGTATCTCAGCCAATACTTACATATGTAACATATTCAATTGGTTATTGACATTTGGACATTATTTTTGATGCTCTTTCGTAAAATGAAGAAAAAATTGAGAAATTCTAAAATTAGATTTTTGATGACGTCACACTTCACCACTCTATAGAGAACAATTAACACAACTATCAGTCACATGACACCAAGAGAGGAAGCCTTTCTAAATATCTCTTAACCCATTGAATATTAAGCCAGAGATAACAAGATTACATGTAAGCTGATAGGAAATCACATCAGAAAAACATAAGCGATGTTCACACGAAAGTCTATAAACTTTTATAAAGATTATCTTATAGTTTTGAAAAACTTGTGTCAACTTCATGTACATGTATGTGCCAGGGTGACACAATTAACTATAAGGTTTCGCCAGTTTGTCGTTACAATGACCGCTTGCTCAGCTTGTTGTTTAAGACTTAGGAGCACTCATCGTTTTGGTCCATGTAAACTGGTAAATTAAATGGGAGTGTCGTGGTCGAGTGGTTTAAGGCGTTGACTGGAGATGCGAAGGCCGAGGGTTTGAATCCCAACACGGCACTAATATCCTTTGGCAAAATATTAACCTGCATTTGCTACTCTCCACCTAGGTGTTAAATGGGTACCCGGTAGGATGCGACCGTCATTGTTGGTCAAACAGTT